AGTGAGAAGAGTAGTCCACGTTCAGGTCAGAAATCGCGGTAAACGTTTTGAACATGAATTTTTTTTTTTTAACAAAAAATGTTTTATTGGTACGTTAAAAATTAAAAATATTCGTCTGCAATTTGCTTTGTACACCCTAATTCCAGGAGATGAGGATGAGACATCAGCGAAATAATATCTCAAAAGAAAGGGCGATAACACACACACACAATATATACGCATATATATATATATATATATATATATATATATATATATATATATATATATATTTCTTAACCGAACATAATTACATTGAAGCTTATGGAACTATTGTCTAGAGCAAATTTTTGTTCACCTTAAACCAAAATTCGTGTTAACCGTGTTCTCATTAACGAGGGTTTACTGTATATATATTATATATATATATATATATATATATATATATATGTTTGAATTGAGTTTGAATATTATGAATGTTTTTCTGATGATGGAGATTGTTGAAAATTATTTTGTTTGAGTAATCACACATTACATAAATAAATAATATTAACATAATTGTTACTGGACTCTATATTCCACTCAACCATAGAAATTCAATTTAAAAAAGGACCAGACTTCGTCTAAGACAAGTTTAGCTTAATATGTTCTAAATGGTTTAAGGTAACAATGCTCTTCAGGCCATACAATTATCATTTAAATACCTGCTGGGCTGTGTTAATTAGTTTCATTCTTCTACGGATATTCTCGTTACGGATTTTATCATGCAGTAAAAACACCTATTATTACTAAAATCTTCGAATATTGGTTGATATAAAGAAAATGTATAATAGAAGTTTTCTTTTACAGGTTTATTAAATATTCCAGAAACGTATGAAACAAGAAGCAATATATTTGTTACACCTCCAGCAAAAGAACTATCGTCAAGGCCATATAACCCACTGCCTAATCTTTTTAAAATCATAAAGATCTTATTAGAAAAAAAGAAAGGATCCATAATCTAAGGAATTCCATCAGTTCTTTGAGAAAAAAAAATGTTGTGCATAGGCATTCGCAATTCAAATCCGATGAGCGTGGAGCAGATGCGACTGGTCCATCGCGCACTAACACAGGCTATCGCCAAAACAGCCTGTGGGGCGCAGCCAGGAGATGGACCGAAATTTTCTGGTTTCACCCATAAGCGTGGCTGGATTCTTATAACTTGCCTGAATAAGGCGAGTCAGGGCTGGATAGTTGGTGTGATTAGAAACCTGAAACCATGGCAAGAGGCCGAGCTATCAATTATACCAGAGGGTGAATTGCCTAAGCTACAATTGGGCATCACATATTTGCCTAGCAGTGAAGTTGACTCTCCAGACGAGGCTGTTGTGCTGATGCGGGCACAAAATCAAGGGCTCTATACGGAGTTCTGGAAAATCCTCCGCCGCAGGGACGAAGAAAATGGGTTCTTAATAACTTTTTCCTTGGACGATCCATCGGCGGAAGCTATGCGAGCGGGGCAGGTGGCAGAGTCTTCTGTGGTTTTAAGATAGTAACTTTTAAAATCAGGCGCGGCTATGACACGACACCGGAAGAAGAACCACCCCAAGCACAATCCGCCCAACCCTCCACTTCGCGATATGAGCATGGGACGGCGTCGGTGAGATCGTTTGCGACTCAAGGAGTTGCTCTCGCCTCGGGTCGACAACCTCAGCTAATGTCGACCAAAGTTAAGGGAAGGAGAAGTAGGGGCAGCAAAGAGAAAGGTGCGGCGAGGATCGAAAGCGCTCGCAAAGGACGTCTTCGTCCTAAGTGGTCGAAAATGACCCTTGCCCACTTACGCCCATAAATGGCTAACCCGGAGGGTACGACGAGAGGCCTCCAGGCAATTCTTCACCATGCTGCAGCTGCTTCTGTTGTGGTGGTTCTCGCTTCTTTCGCAATGTCCCTGAACAATAAGTTTTTATTCCCAGTAATTTTAAAGCCAATGGTTACACCATTGTAAAAGTTATCCATAAAAACGGTATGTCCTTTATCAAGAAAGTCATTTAGCAACTGCTTGACAATCTTTTCAGTGTGTCCCTTGCCACTTGTGACGTCACTAGATCCACCAAATTGATGTGTTGTTAGAACTAACAGGGCACCCGTAAGGGCTACAGCCGCCTGTGTGCAAAAATGTATTTTAGCGCCCCTTAAGGCATTTTGTTTCATGGTTTTTTTATTTATTTTTGTGAAGGTAGGTAGGTACGTGCTTGAAATAAAGCAAAAAAACTGAACTGCAAATTCATTAAATAAAAAATTTCTTGTTCATTTGGTAATGTCGCTAGCCCAGACAATCTTTCTTGAAGCATTGTCGATCTTAAATGATTTTTAACTTTGAAAAAGATCGCTCCCCAGAAGCTACAGATACAGGTAATGTCAGAATAATTCTTAGTGAAATCCTTACGTTTGGAAAGGTAGAGATTAAATTGTTTTCAAATATATGTTGTAAAATACTTAAGGGGTCAGTATCATCGGGTAATGAAACCAACTTTATCGCTTTAATTTCATTAAACAAATCATTGGAGTCTATATCCTTATTATCCTCACCTGTCAGTCGTTCTTCAAGAACATAACAATCTTTTAAAATATCGCTGTTAGAGAGAGAGAGAGCGCTGTCGAGAAGTTCTAGTGAGAAGTGCTAGTTCTTTCGCTTGTACAAGAATTTCTTCAAACGATTGGTCAGATCTATATTGCTGGAAGTGATCAACTAAATTTTTTAGGTGGGTTTGGCATACTTTAATATGAATTGTAGCACTTTGCATTTGTTTGCTGATAATATTTATGTGAAATAAAACGTCACGCCAAATAATAATTCCACAAATAAATTGAAAATTTTGTACAGACGTTAAGAGGGAACTCGCTTTATGTCTTGCATCAATGTGAAAGGAATTATCTTCAGCTACTTCTAGAAGAAGACTTTCGCGAACCTTAATTAAATAAAGTTTAGGGGCTTTATTGAATCAATTCTGCTGGACCATCTTGTCTCATTTAGAGGCTTTAAACTTAACCAAGGGACATTTTTTTTCAGAATATCCCACCTTATTGTGGATGACGAAAAAAATTATATAACTAACACAAAAAAAACTCTTGCACAAGATTAAAAAATTAATGAAAGCATCTGACACTTTAGAAGATTCATTTACTGTTAAGTTCAAAGTATGAGCCGTACAAGGTACAAAAAGAGCTCTCGGATTCACGTCAAGAATGTGTTTTTGAAGCCCAACATGCATGCTATCCCTTCATGTTTGCCCCATTATCAAAACCTTGTCCCGTAATATATTTTATATCTAAATTTAATTTATTCAAAATTTCTGTCGCAAATGTATATATCCCTTTCCCTGTAGAGTCCAGTATAGGATTAAATGCAATAAAACTTTTCTTAACTTCAACCTTTTTTGAAGTTGTGTTACGGACAACATACCTCAGAACAAGACTAATTTGCTCAGTATGACTAGTGTCTGGTGTATAATCTAATATTCTTCAAAAATATCTTGAACTGCGAACCATTTCTAAAATATTTCTTACTTTAGACGAGAATAATTCAATTATTTCATTCTGTATTTGCACGCCTAAATAATAGTCATTTTAACAGATTTTGATTAGGAGTTACACACTCGGCTAACGTGTTGTTTCATCACTGAATCAAAAGAGGCAATCATCTCAACAGTTTTTAGAAAATTTCCATTATCATGTTCAAAAAGTAATTTCGAAGAACCTTTAAATGCCAAGCATTGTGTAGATAAATACTTAACAATCGCAATAATTCTTTCCAACACGTCGCGCCAATATTTTTTTCCGTTTCTAAAATCCGCAGGTGATAAGCATTAACAGTTGTAGATGTCTCCAACATTTTTTTTTAAATTTACCCAAGTGTTCATATAACTATTGTGTAAAATCGACGTTTCGTTTCTCTTTTTAGCAAAGACAAGCGTTGCCAATCAGATACTCCATTTGTATCATTATCTTGTTAATAGCCTGGCGCACACAATCATTCGACGACATTAACAGCCTAGGGCAACCGCTACTATCTATATCTATAGCCGAGCTGCTAACTAATTCCGGTTTCTTTTCAGAGTAGGTCAACCATTCTCTTGAGCTAAGCAAAATTGTCGCGCTCATTCTGCTCGTCATAGTCTTGAGTCATGATGTCATCCGGGTAGGCTAGCACCTGGTTACCTGGGGAAGTTCAATCCAAATTGATCCAGGGATGGAGTTTGTTGTGTAGAAATTATCGCGGATGGCTACTGGTGTTTCCGCATTGGTCAAGACTTCAACTGTGTGTATAAGGTTGTTAACACGTTAACTGCCATGTCAGGCACCGGTGCTTGACAGACATGGCACCTGTTAAGGCCATGTCAGTCCCGGGTGACTGACGCCACAGTATATAATTTAGATGATCTCAGGGAGCTGTCCGGCACGTTTAGCTCGTTATTATCTATTAAAATTGACTGACAAGGCCCTGGAAAAACTATGTTCAACTTGGCCTAACGTTTTTATATTTAGAACTGGATTTATTTAAGTTTTATTGGGAAAAATAAAATGCGACACAATGAAACTATAAAAACTTTTTATTGTTCGAAATAATCATATTTTGGGCTTATACAGCTTAGAAAATTATAAAAAAAAATGCAATTTAGAGTAATGAAGTGCAATAATCAGTCAAGGAGTCCAAGGGAAAGTTACATTGTTTTATGTTCCTCGTTGAAACAAGATAGGCAAAAATGTGGTTCTTTAGGGCATTGTAGGCAATAAGTATTCACTTGCTTAGTCTTCTTTCTAGCATAATTTTTGTCTATTGTTTGAACATTTACTTTATAACACCGTGAACAGTACTTTCTAGATTTTTTACAGGTCCGTCTTTCTTTTTTAGCTCATGCTTTTGCCTCCAATTTCTTGTCAATGGCATGTCAGGATTACTGTTTTCTTTGCCCGACTCTGTTAGATTTTTGCACAACTTTTTCCTATATTCTACTATCCCTATTTTAGACTTCGTGGTTTCTTTATAAATTATGTAAGAATTGAGTAATGCAATGTTCAACACCAAGTTTTCTGTACCATTTTACACTTTTTCTCAAAGGTGTTGAGTATGCGATCATCTGATCAGATAGGTCTACAGAAGATTTTGCGTTGTTATAATCGACTACAATTTTCGGTTTTATTATTTCTTTGTCTCTTTTGCAAGTCCTTGTAAATCCAATAGAATGTTTCGTAGACAGTAAATAAACATCCCTTTTATCCTTCCATTTCATACATGTCATACCATCTTCATTTTCTTTAGCTTTAAACTCTCCTTTTTTTATCTTTCCGTTTATAACATCTTTAGGCAAATATTTTCTATTTTTACGTAAAGTGCCCACAAGATGCGTTTCTTTGTCCAACAATTTGCGTCCAAGATCAATACTGGTATACCAGTTATCGGTATATAATGTATGACCTTTTTGAAGATATCCTTCCATAAGTGACATCACAACATTGGTTGGGGTTGTAGTTTCGGTCTCACTTCTCTTTCCCGCATATATTTGAATTCTGTTAGTGTAGCCTGGATTAGTACATAATTTAAAAACTTTAATTCCATATTTGTGCCTCTTCAATTTGATATATTGTCGGAATATAATGCGACCCCGAAATGGTACCAGAGACTCATCAATACAGAGATTTTCTTGAGGATATTTCAAACCTGTTACGAGACATAACCGTACGCGGGAAAGATTGACAAATCAGGGGGTCTGTTGACCAATAATCAGCTAGCTTAGGCAATCTAACTATGCCCATATATAAAATTAAAACAAAAAACCTTTTGATTTCGTCTTGGTTTGTATCAGACCAACTAAGCAGTCGCGATCCTCGTTTTATTTGATTAATTTTTTTTGAACTAAGTTTAGTAATTGTCTGAGCAGCAAATCGGTTGGTTTCCATAGCTATATCATGAAACACACTATCCGGAACTAACAAAGAATAAAAATCCTCTGGTTTGGATTTTGCTATCGTATTTCTCAAACTATAAGGTTTCAAACCAGGGCACTCTGTGAAAGGTATAATTCTTCTTTGCTTACCCGCTGGTTCATACCATAAATCGCTCTCAAGCCTTGTGCTAACCTGCTGTTCTGGGTTTTCATCTTCGTCACCATTTTCTATCACATACCGCCTCTTTCTGTTTTCTCGCCTATGCAAAATTACTTCTGTATCGTCACATATTTCACTACAACATGGAATTTCTAAAAGCGGGGAATCTCTTTGAGTCAGTTGTTTTTCTAGTTCGTCAATTGCTTGCAGTTGTACCAACGATAATTCAAAATCACACGTATTATCAATAATGGACATGATTACAATAGCTATCGTCACACAAAATCTCCAAAAACACAAAAAAACTAGAGCAATGGGTGCGTGCACTTCCGCAGATAATTCGAAGCTACTAAATAAACACTCTAGGTACACATCCCATGGCACGCGCCGGACGGGTTGCAACCTGCAAGGAATGAACTACGACACGCGTAGGTACTTTTGTTCAAACGGCCGAGCGCCGCACCGAGTGATTTCCAGCGCAAATAAATTGGCGGCCGGCGGACGGTGCCTGACAAAATACTTGACATGGCCCAATAGCTATGTTTTGTTTCGTTTGGGCCTCGTCAGGCACATATGCCAGACATTTAATTTTTTTGCTTTATTTTACATTATAATCACCGGAAACAAATTAAAATAGTCATATAATGTGATTTACTTAAATATACAACCACTAATATACAATTACTATGGAAGTTAACGTGTTAATGGTTACATTAACTGATGTTGGTACTTCAACTCCATCTACTATTGCTTTTTTTTCGTTAGTTGTTTCGGCAATCGTCAAGTATTCCATCGGAATGTCTTTGTCAACAAAGTGATCCAATGATAGTGCCAACATTGCTTTACGCCGGACATTGAATTAATTTGTCTTGACAATTATAGGTAAAAGACGCTGAAGTGAATTATAGTTAAAGCCCTAGTGGTGGCAGCCACTTCGCTAGAGGTGGTATCTATCGTGCGCATGTATTTCGTTAGACTTACAAGGGAGGCAGCGTCACGAATATTAGGCGCCCGGACCTTCGACGCGAATGCTCTGGTCGCGTGGGCTCAACAAGACGCTCGTAGAGGTGGTTTGAGTAAGGGGAGTGAATCGAGACTTCTTCTCCGAGCTATCGGTAACAGGCGATGGTGGCGACTCGCACCGGTAGGTCTTGCACAACGGTATAATGCCCACCAAAAGCAGGGCTGGCAGAAACAGAAGTAACACTGGGTGTTGTAGAAGAAGATTCCGAAGACGCTGAAGCTGCCGTGCAGGGGCGGAGGCCAGATCTGGATTCAGCTGGCTTCCTCTGTGGGTTAGGAGGCGGTTGTACATTACTAGGACCGGTCTCATCGGGCTCCGCTGAACTTTCGAGGGCATCGTCGATTTATCGTTTTTAACGACGTTGTGTGATACGCACCAGTGTGCGCTTTGATTTGCTAAAATCGTATTTTGAATAAAGTACTTAATCGATTGCAATGTTTTCGAGTGCGACAACGTTAGAATATTGGGGGTCCGTGATGAGATCTTATTCATCTAGCTCGTGTGACGGACTATCTTGTTTGTTTGTAGTTGGGTAGGCTATAGCGGGAATGAAATCCTTGCCCAAAAATGTTCTAAGTGGTATACGCCTGGGACTAACACCCAGTTAGCGATAAAACATCGACGACTTTCGGAGCCTGGTTAAAGGGACAGTCCCCATTACCAACCTCTATAAGTGGGGAGGTAACCCAAAGATGTTTGTGTTTTTGTACGATTCTCGTCAGTCTTGTCTAAACACATTACGAATTGATACGCTGGAAGAGGTGCACTTGTCTGAAGACATTATGAATTAATACGCTGGAAGGTGCGTGTTCAAATTTCACGTGGAGCGTCAAAATTCACCTGGCTCTGTTCATTAAAAGCAAGAACTCTGTTGTTAATAGCCTGGCGCACACAATAATTTGACATTAACAGGCTAGGGCAACCGCAACTATCCATATCTATAACCGAGTCGCTAACTGATTCCGGTTTCTTTTTACGGAATAGGTCAACCATTATCTTGAGCTCCGTAAAATCGTCGCGCACATTCTACTCGTCAAAATCTTGAGGCATGATATCATCCGAGTTGGCTAGCACCGGGTTACCTGAATGTCCAATCCAAATTAATCCAGGGATGGAGTTTGTTGCGTAGAAACTATCGCGGATGTCTACTGGTGTTTCCGCATTGCTCAAGACTTCTACTGTGTGTCGAAGGTTGTTAATGGTTACATTAGCTGATATTGGTACTTCAACTCCATCTTCTATTGCTTTTTTTCCTTTATTAATTGTATACATAAAGTTATTGACACAATAACAGAAACAATACACGGCGCAGTCTCAAGGATACTGATTTATGTTAGTTGTTTCGGCATTCTTCATTATTCGTATTCCATCGGAAGGTCGTTGTCAACAGAGTGATCCGATGATGTTGCTAACATTGCTTCACGACGGACATTGAATTAATTGGGGTCTTGACAATTATATTAAAGCCTTTGTGGTGGCTGCCACTTCGCTAGAGGTGGTTTCGTGAAACGTGCGCACGTATTTCACCACACTTACAAGAGAGGCGGTGTCACGAATATTGGGCATTTCCGTCATTGACGTTAACTAGCTCTTCTATTTCTACAGTAGAAAGTGGATGACAACAATACAACCGTTCACTTTCTTCTGCAGAAGTATTTGCAAGCGTCAATGACTTCTGGCTTCGACTTCTGGCTTGAAGCTGCCGTGCGGGGGCGGAGGCCAGGTCTGGATTTAGCTGGCTTCCTCGGTGGGATAGGAGGTGCTTGTGCATTACTAGGACCGATCTCATCGGGGTCCGCTGAACTTTCTAGGGCATCGTCGATTGGTCGTTTTGAGCGACGTTGTGTGATACACACCAGTGTGCGCTTCGATTGGCTAAAATCGTATTTTCAATCAAATACTTTACGCGGATGGCAATGTTTCCGAGTGCGACAACATTGGAATGTCTGTCGTGTGACTGACTCCCTTGTTCGTTTGTAGTTGGGTAGGGTATGGCGGTAATGAAATCCTTGCCCAAAAATGTTCTAAGTGGTATACGCCTGTGACTAATACCCAGTTAGAGATAAGACGCAACGAATTAATACGCTGGAAGGTGCTACGTAGATGAAGCGGAGTTAGCTCCAACATAGCCTCCAAAGCTGCTGTTGGTGTAGTCCTTATGCAGCCTGTGGCAGCCATACAAGCCAATCTCTGGTAACGCTGAAGCTTTCGTATAGTGGTGGCTTCAGTGGTTTTGGTCCACCGTACCAGAGAGCCATATGCGATCATGGGCCGAAATACAGTTTTGTACAGCCACAGTATAATTTTTGGCGTTAAACCCCATCGTTTTCCAATCATGTTTCTGCATTGCCAGAAAGTAAAACTAGCTTTGTTGATTTTGTTTTCTATGTGTATATTCCAGTTAAGTTTACTGTCCAAGGTAAGACTTAGGTATTTTACCTCGGAGGAAAGCTGGAGTTTTGTGCTGAAAATACTTGGAAGATGATAGTTATTCGGCATTTGTTTTTGTGTGAACATTACTATAACCGTTTTGTTTGGATTAACAGTTAGGTAATATTCCCTGCACCATCTCTCCACAATACGGAGAGCCGCTTGGATCAGGTCGCACAAAATGCTTGCTGTGTTTCCAGAGACCAGTATTGTTAGATCATCTGCATAACCAAATGTGTAGGAATGGTTAGCGTTTAATTTGCTGATGAGTTCATTAATGACCATATTCCACAGGAGAGGTGAAAGAACCCCACCATGCGGGCATCCTTTCATGATCTGAATTTTCTGAGATTCATCAGCAATTTTTATTGTTCGTGTACTGAGCATGTTTACTATCCAGTCAATCAGTGCCGGTTCAACTTTATGTCTACTTAGGGTACCTTTTATGCTGGAGAAATTTGTTCTGTCAAAAGCACCTTCTATGTCTATGAAGGAGCATAGACATATTACTTTGTTTTGGATGGCCTCTTCAATCTTTGTTATTACATGGTGAAGTGCCGATTCTGTCGATTTACCTAAACTATAGGCGTGTTGTTTTACGTGTAGCGGTAAGTTAATTAGCGCCGACCCTCAACTCCCGTTCACACATCCTCTCCATCGTCTTTTGGAGAAAGGATGTGAGGCTAATGGGTCTGTAGGATTTAGGGTCTGTATAGTCGTTCTTACCTGGTTTGGGTATGAACGTGACTTTCACTTCCCTCCATCCCCTAGGAACATATTTAAGATTAATCACGCCATGATTATTAAAGTCCAGTCAGATCAGTGTAGTGTATAAAAATCATGCATAATCAGACCATAATTGCTAGGGTAAGGATAGGCTACATATTTAGGAGCCAAACATGGTCTCATTATGGTAACAAGTCTGACTGTTAGGACTTTACCCCCCCCCCCCACCGCAGAAGTGCCGGGAATAAGTCGTCAGGTCCTGCTGCCTTATAGGGTTGGAAACTATGAATGGCCCAGTGGATTTTGTCCATCGTCACCACTCTTAGTGCTAATTCCCAGTCTTCTTTTGTTGGTGTCAGTGTATCTTCATACCGGTTCACCCTTTCAACTACACAGCAACCTGGGAAGTGAGTGTCAATTACCGTCGGGTTTCTTTAAAGAGATAGATCCCGGCGTGTTCTGTTTAGCTAGGATTTTCCTTATCCGATTTGCTTGTTCACAGGTTTCTATGCTACCACAGAATTTGCGTCACCCTGTTGAGCGTCGATACCCGATACATTTTTTGTGTTCAGAATTAGCTTTCTTATATAGAAGCCAGTCTTCACCCTTTGAGGTATTCATTGCCCTATTTAGGGCTTTTCTTACCTTCTTACGTTTCTTGTGTAGTTCTTTACCCCACCACTGTTGCTTTTGCTCAGCAAGTTTTGGTGGAGTGATTACTGGACATGATTCTTGGTAGCTATCGATCATTGATTTAGTGACAGCTGCTACCTGTTCTTCTAGGAGCGATTGATCTGCTATGGTATTAGTTCCCCCAACACCCGCGAGCGAAGACGTCAGCCTATTGAGGTATTTTCTTTTATACGTCTTGCGGGGATTTCTCTATCGAAGTATAGCGGGGATATCGACCTGTAGTACGCAGCAGATCCATCTGTGGTCTGAGCATGAGGCCTCTTTCGACACATGCCATCCTGTTATTAGTTTAGCTGCTCCTTCTGTTGCAAGTGTGAGGTCGATTATTGTGCGACAGCGTTTATTTATAAAGGTTGGTTCAGAACCAGTGTTTAAAATGGTTAGGTTAGTGCTAAATAAATATTCCACTAAAATCTTACCTCGTTCATTGGGTTTTTCCATTCCCCAAAGGGGGTGATGCGCATTGGAGTCCGTCCCGATCACAACCTCTATTTACTACTAATTTCATTATACAGGAAAGTGCTAAAAGAGTGCGGGGCGGGGGGCCACGGGAAATTGGCGAAATGGCGAAAGCACTAGGTGCGTGTCGTCTATTACACGAAAGGTTAGTGATCTAGGGTTAATTGATGTTGGTACTTCAACTCCATCTATTATTGCTTTTTTTCTTTATTAATTTTATACATAAAGTTATTGACACAATGACAGAAACAATACATGGCACAGTCTCAAGGATACTGATTTATGATGTTTCTGTTTTGAACGGACAAATTCAATGCCTTCAGGCGATCTAGTAAGCACTTGCATAGCTTCAGATTCTGTGAAAGCACCATTTTTGCATAAAAGTAAAATAATATCTGAATTTCGATAGTAACTGCTGCTATTTTTCCATTGTCAGTGTTGTATTTACAGTTTTCCCTCCTTGTAAATTTTTTTTTATTGAACTTCAATGCCATTGCCGTCTCTTTCTCGTATGTTATTATCGGTTTTATCAGCTTCATCCACCAGTCTTGGCTGTTTCGCTTCAGATGTACTGCCTTCATTTCCAAGTATTGTATTTCTCCCTCCGGTACATTCAGCTTCGTACATTTTCTTTGTCCATTTATTGATCCCGTCCATTCTACATGAATGACTGGCGCATTGAAAAGTTTCTACAAGTTCGTCGCCGAGAATGTCCTGTACGATTGGACGACCATTGCCGGAATAAATATACTTGCGTATACAAGCGAGGCAGTTAATGCTTGAAAAAATTCCCACTGTCTATGACTGACTGATGAATGCTGAGAGTGTCCTGGACCGAATTCCGGACCAATAAGTCCATTCTCGAAGAACTCCGCATCAAGCAACGTCTGTCATCTATTGTGCAAGCTCGCATACTCACTTTCTTTGGTCACGTGTCTAGACGTAATGATATCTCGATTGAACGTCTAGTGGTCCAGGGTAGAGTAGAGGGCACTAGAGCGCGTGGCAGATCGCCTATGAGATGGACAGACCAGGTGAGGGCTGCGGTGGATGTCCCGTTGCATGAGTGCACAAGAAAGGCAGCTGTTAGGGAGGAGTGGAGGCGTATTGTAGAGCGTGCCACAACACCCAAGTGACGACCACGACCGCTCTGTCAAGAGCGTATCGACTGAGAAGAAGAAGAAGATTATGACTGACGTATATAAGGTTCAAATGCCGTCTTTTGCCTCCTTGATGGAAAGCGATTAGTTTATAACGTCCGTTATAAATTGTTGACACTTGATCTTCATTGCTTGGGATATACGTACTCACTTGATGTACTCGTCTTCCCTGGCTCTCATCGTAATCTCCAAGTCTCTCGAAACTGCCTGCTCTGACTGAATATCGTCTTGTTCGTCCATCTCTCCATCTAACTCGGTAGCAGCCATCGTCTGCAATGCTCCCAATCCCTTCTGTTCCGGCATATAGTTCTTTACTTTCACCTCCCGGATCTTGTTCCAATCTATTATCCCCCTTTTCGTCCCTAGGTTAGGTTACGTTAGGTTTTAGGTTCATTTCATTATCTACTACTACACATATATGACACGATGACATCATAAAAAACATGATGTAATAATAAGTAATGTTGATGATTCAATGTACCATAACACCATACCCAACCCCACCCTACAACCCAACATAATAACTGCCGATTGAATTAGCAAAATTGACACTTTAATTACCGATAGCAATTAAAACTTAAAATACACTAAAAATAAATCACACTTAACACTTTACTTCACTTTATTTCGTTCCGAAGTCTTCGCTTGAGTCGCCAATTAAATACTGCCCGGTCGCGCTCCTTACGGACTTTATGTACGAACTTTTCCACCGAAAACAGCTTAGAACGTTCAAGTAGAATGCGAAAGTTCTAGCAAAGAATCCTCCACAAAGCCCTCGCTACTCGATACTAGAAGACGCTAGTTGGAAAGTTCTAGAAAGATCTTATCGCTCCTATTTCTGCTACTTAATACTAAATGGATGTTTTTCCTTATCCGATTTGCTTGTTCACAGGTTTCTATGCTACCACAGAATTTGCGCCACCCTGTTGAGCGTCGATACCTGATACATTTTTTTGTATTCAGACTTAGCTTTCTTATATAGAAGCCAGTCTTCACCCTTTGAGGTATTCATTGCCCTATTTAGGGCTTTTCTTACCTTCTTACGTTTCTTGTCTAGTTTTTTACCCCACCACTGTTGCTTTTGCTCAGCATGTTTTGGTGGAGTGATTACTGGACATGATTCATGGTAGCTATCGATCATGGATTTAGTGACAGCTGCTACCTGTTCTTCTAGGAGCGATTGATCTCCTATGGTGTTAGTTCCCCCAACACCCGCGAGCGAAGACGTCAGCCTATTGAGGTATTTTGTTTTATACATCTTGCGGGGATTTCTCTATGGAAGTATAGCGGGGATATCGACCTGTAGTACGTAGCAGATCCATCTGTGGTCTGAGCATGAGGCCTCTTTCGACACATGCCATCCTGTTATTAGTTTAGCTGCTCCTTCTGTTGCAAGTGTGAGGTCGATTATTGTGCGACAGCGTTTATTTATAAAGGTTGATTCAGAACCAGTGTTTAAAATGGTTAGGTTAGTGCTAAATAAATATTCCACTAAAATCTTTCCTCGTTCATTGGGTTTTTCCATTCCCCAAAGGGGGTGATGCGCATTGGAGTCCGTCCCGATTACAACCTCTATTTACTACTAATTTCATTATCCAGGAAAGTGCTAAAAGAGTGCGGGGCGGGGAGCAACGGGAAGTTGGCGATATGGCGAAAGCACTAGGTGCGCGTCGTCTATTACACGAATGGTTAGTGATCTAGGGTTAATTGATGTTGGTACTTCAACTCCATCTATTATTGCTTTTTTATTTATTAATTTTATACATAAAGTTATTGACACAATGACGGAAAGAATACATGGCGCAGTCTCAAGGATACTGATTTATGTTGTTTCGGCATTCGTCAAGTATTCCATCGGAAGGTTGTTGTCAACAAAGTGATCCGATGATGGTGCTAACATTGCTTCACGACGGACATTGAATTAATTGGGGTCTTGACAATTATATTCAAGTCCTAGTGGTGGCAGCCACTTCGCTAGAGGTGGTGTCCATCGTGCGCACGTATTTCGCCACACTTAAAAGGGAGGCGGTGTCACGAATATTGGGCATTTCCGTCATTGACGTTAACTAGCTCTTTTATTTCTACAGAAGAAAGTAGAGGACAACAATACAACCGTTCACTTTCTTCTGCAGAAAGACTTGCAAACGTCAATGACTTCTGGCTTCGACGTCGTGTAGCAGGCGGCGCGTCTCCAGAGGCTGATGAGCTCTGCGAGCTCAGCGGTATTCCTAAATCGATATGATGAAAATTTATGTTAGTCTACGTAATTTGTCCTAAGTGGTTTTAGACTTAAAAGTTCAGATTAACATACCGAGATCCGGTGTTAATGCGGGCCTCCGTGGCCTCGACCCCTCTGAAGTACGCTGCAAAAGAGTCGCCTGGTCTTCCATGTTAATGGAGCCGCCGGGGGTTGTTAACGCTTACATTAAATGATGTTGGTATTTAAACTCCATCTAGTTTTTTTTCGTTAGTTGTTTCGGCAATCGTCAAGTATTCCATCGGAATGTCTTTGTCAACAAAGTGATCCGATGATAGTGCCAACATTGCTTTACGTCGGACATTGAATTAATTTGAGTCTTGACAATTATAGGTAAAAGACCAGTGTGCGCTTTGATTTGCTAAAATCGTATTTTCAATAAAATACTTAATGGATGGCAATGTTTCCGAGTGCGACAACATTAGAATATTGGGGGTCCGTGATGAGATCTTATTCATCTAGCTCGTGTGACCGACTATCTTGTTCGTTTGTAGTTGGGTAGGCTATGGCGGGAATGAAATCCTTGCCAAAAAATGTTCTAAGTGGTATGCGCCTGGGACTAACACCCAGTTAGCGATAAGACATCGACGACTTTCGGAGCCTGGTCAAAGGGACAGTCCCCACTACCAACCTCTATAAGTGGGGAGGTAACCCAAAGATGTATGTGTTTTTGTACGATTCTCGTCAGTCTTGTCTAAACACATTACGAATTGATACGCTGGAAGAGGTGCACTTGTCTGAAGACATTATGAATTATTACGCTTGAAGGTGCGTGTTCAAATTTCACGTGGAGCGTCAAAATTCATCTGGCCCTCTTCATTAAAAGCAAGAACTCTGTTGTTAATAGCCTGGCGCACACAATAATTTGACATTAACAGGCTAGGGCAACCGCAACTATCCATATCTATAACCGAGTCGCTAACTGATTCCGGTTTCTTTTTACGGAATAGGTCAACCATTATCTTGAGCTCCGTAAAATCGTCGCGCACATTCTGCTCGTCAAAATCTTGAGGCATGATATCATCCGAGTTGGCTAGCACCGGGTTACCTGAATGTCCAATCCAAATTAATCCAGGGATGGAGTTTGTTGCGTAGAAACTATCGCGGATGTGTACTGGTGTTTCCGCATTGCTCAAGACTTCTACTGTGTGTCGAAGGTTGTTAATGGTTACATTAACTGATATTGGTACTTCAACTCCATCTACTATTGCTTTTTTTCCTTTATTAATTGTATACATAAAGTTATTGACACAATAACAGAAACAATACGTGGCGCAGTCTCAAGGATACTGATTTATGTTAGTTGTTTCGGCATTCGTTAAGTATTCCATCGGAAGGTCGTTGTCAACAAAGTGGCTTATATCTCCTTTTTTTCCACCGAAGTCGGGCGCTCTTCTCATTGGTTGCGAGAGTCACGTGACATTCTAGAACTTTCTTCTTTCCCCTCTCACCCCACCACCCCGGTGTGTCGGGAGGACGATAAGTTATGGAAAGGACAAAACGCTTGGCGAGCATACCCTCGAATAAAATAAAAATAGGAATGGTTTTCAGCGCAACCACCGATTCTTGAAATACCAAAAATGGATTTAGTATTTATCCTTTCGTTGTATTGTTTTGAACGGACAAATTCAATGCCTTCAGGCGATCTAGTAAGCACTTGCATAGCTTCAGATTCTGTGAAAGCACCATTTTTGCATAAAAGTAAAATAATATCTGAATTTCGATAGTAACTGCTGCTATTTTTCCATTGTCAGTGTTGTATTTACAGTTTTCCCTCCTTGTAAATTTTTTTTTATTGAACTTCAATTCCATTGCCGTCTCTTTCTCGTATGTTATTATCGGTTTTATCAGCTTCATCTACCAGTCTTGGCTGTTTCGCTTCAGATGTACTGCCTTCATTTCCAAGTATTGTATTTCTCCCTCCGGTACATTCAGCTTCGTACATTTTCTTTGTCCATTTATTGATCCCGTCCATTCTACATGAATGACTGGCGCATTGAAAAGTTTCTACAAATTCGTCGCCGAGAATGTCCTGTACGATTGGACGACCATTGCCGGAATAAATATACTTGCGTATACAAGCGAGGCAGTTAATGCTTGAAAAAATTCCCACTGTCTATGACTGACTGATGAATGCTGAGAGTGTCCTGAACCGAATTCCGGACCGATAAGTCCATTCTCGAAGAACTCCGCATCAAGCAACGTCTGTCATCTATTGTGCAAGCTCGCATACTCACTTTCTTTGGTCACGTGTCTAGACGTAATGATATCTCGATTGAACGTCTAGTGGTCCAGGGAAGAGTAGAGGGCACTAGAGCGCGTGGCAGATCGCCTATGAGATGGACAGACCAAGTGAGGGCTGCGGTGGATGTCCCGTTGCATGAGTGCACAAGAAAGGCAGCTGTTAGGGAGAGTGGAGGCGTATTGTAGAGCGTGCCACAATACCCAAGTGACGACCACGACCGCTCTGTCAAGAGCGTATCGACTGAGAAGAAGAAGAAGGTTATGACTGACGTATATAAGGTTCAAATGCCGTCTTTTGCCTCCTTGATGGAAAGCGATTAGTTTATAACGTCCGTTATAAATTGTTGACACTTGATCTTCATTGCTTGGGATATACGTACTCACTTGATGTACTCGTCTTCCCTGGCTCTCATCGTAATCTCCAAGTCTCTCGAAACTGCCTGCTCTGACTGAATATCGTCTTGTTCGTCCATCTCTCCATCTAACTCGGTAGCAGCCATCGTCTGCAATGCTCCCAATCCCTTCTGTTCCGGCACATAGTTCTTTACTTTCACCTCCCGGATCTTGTTCCAATCTATTATCCCCTTTTCGTCCCTAGGTTAGGTTACGTTAGGTTTTAGGTTCATTTCATTATCTACTACTACACATATATGACACGATGACATCATAAAAAACATGATGTAATAATAAGTAATGTTGATGATTCAATGTACCATAACACCACACCCAACCCCACCCTACAACCCAACATAATAACTGCCGATTGAATTAGCAAAATTGACACTTTAGTTACCGATAGCAATTAAAACTTAAAATACACTAAAAATAAATCACACTTAACACTTTACTTCACTTTATTTCGTTCCGAAGTCTTCGCTTGTGTCGCCAATTAAATACTGCCCGGTCGCGCTCCTTACGGACTTTATGTACGAACTTTTCCACCGAAAACAGCTTAGAACGTTCAAGTAGAATGCGAAAGTTCTAGCAAAGAATCCTCCACAAAGCCCTCGCTACTCGATACTAGAAGACGCTAGTTGGAAAGTTCTAGAAAGATCTTATCGCTCCTATTTCTGCTACTTAATACTAAATGGATGATTTTCCTTATCCGATTTGCTTGTTCACAGGTTTCTATGCTACCACAGAATTTGCGCCACCCTGTTGAGCGTCGATACCTGATACATTTTTTGTATTCAGACTTAGCTTTCTTATAAAGAAGCCAGTCTTCACCCTTTGAGGTATTCATTGCCCTATTTAGGGCTTTTCTTACCTTCTTACGTTTCTTGTCTAGTTTTTTACCCCACCACTGTTGCTTTTGCTCAGCATGTTTTGGTGGAGTGATTACTGGACATGATTCATGGTAGCTATCGATCATGGATTTAGTGACAGCTGCTACCTGTTCTTCTAGGAGCGATTGATCTGCTATGGTATTAGTTCCCCCAACACCCGCGACCGAAGACGTCAGCCTATTGAGGTATTTTGTTTTATACATCTTGCGGGGATTTCTCTATGGAAGTATAGCGGGGATATCGACCTGTAGTACGCAGCAGATCCATCTGTGGTCTGAACATGAGGCCTCTTTCGATACATGCCATCCTGTTATTAGTTTAGCTGCTCCTTCTGTTGCAAGTGTGAGGTCGATTATTGTGCGACAGCGTTTATTTATAAAGGTTGGTTCAGAACCAGTGTTTAAAATGGTTAGGTTAGTGCTAAATAAATATTCCACTAAAATCTTACCTCGTTCATTGGGTTTTTCCATTCCCAATGGTGATGCGCATTGGAGTCCGTCCCGATTACAACCTCTATTTACTACTAATTTCATTATCCAGGAAAGTGCTAAAAGAGTGCGGGGCGGGGAGCAACGGGAAGTTGGCGATATGGCGAAAGCACTAGGTGCGCGTCGTCTATTACACGAATGGTTAGTGATCTAGGGTTAATTGATGTTGGTACTTCAACTCCATCTATTATTGCTTTTTTATTTATTAATTTTATACATAAAGTTATTGACACAATGACGGAAAGAATACATGGCGCAGTCTCAAGGATACTGATTTATGTTGTTTCGGCATTCGTCAAGTATTCCATCGGAAGGTTGTTGTCAACAAAGTGATTCGATGATGGTGCTAACATTGCTTCACGACGGACATTGAATTAATTGGGGTCTTGACAATTATATTCAAGTCCTAGTGGTGGCAGCCACTTCGCTAGAGGTGGTGTCCATCGTGCGCACGTATTTCGCCACACTTAAAAGGGAGGCGGTGTCACGAATATTGGGCATTTCCGTCATTGACGTTAACTAGCTCTTTTATTTCTACAGAAGAAAGTAGAGGACAACAATACAACCGTTCACTTTCTTCTGCAGAAAGACTTGCAAACGTCAATGACTTCTGGCTTCGACGTCGTGTAGCAGGCGGCGCGTCTCCAGAGGCTGATGAGCTCTGCGAGCTCAGCGGTATTCCTAAATCGATATGATGAAAATTTATATTAGTCTACGTAATTTGTCCTAAATAGTTTTAGACTTAAAAGTTCAGAGATTAACATACCGAGATCCGGTGTTAATGCGGGCCTCCGTGGCCTCAACCCCTCTGAAGTACGCTGCAAAAGAGTCGCCTGGTCTTCCATGTTAATGGAGCCGCCGGGGGGTTGTTAACGCTTACATTAAATGATGTTGGTATTTAACCCTAGATCACTAACCTTATTTTACTACGCTTATTACTAACCTTCGTCGTTTCGACTACGGTGTATAAAAGGGAGGCTTCTAAGGGTTTATGAAATAAAATATTTATATGTGTTTTACTTATTTATTACAATAATCATTTGTTAACATGTTCATAAGTTTTTTATCTACTAAAATCATATTTTAATTACTTTGACACTCTTTTAATTCAGACCTGAGTTTTTACTCATTTGAACATTTTTGTTTTTTTAAATGCTTGTTTCTTATGAACTAAAAGAATCAAAGACTTAAGAAAGTATTAAAATATTAAAATTAAGTAATAAAATCAACAAAAGAAAGAAACAGTTTAGAAAAAAAGTATTAATAAATACATTTGTGACAAATGTCAAATTTGTGTTCGCCACACAAGGATTTGTTGCGCTTGGTGCAACAACTCTTTGTCATTCTTCGCTTTGTGGAGTGACAAATTGCACAAATTTTTCTTTTTTTTAGCGATAGGAAGACTAACTGCATCTTCTCTTTGATCAGTCTCATGTGTAGAAGTAGAACTACTGGTTTCTGGCATATTCAAAATCGCTGTTATTGAGTCCCGCAGCCCCGTTTGAAGTGTCGGAATTTGTAATCTTTTTTGCATGTGTGGCTCGACTAATTTTTGATGCTACTCCGCCCTTAAATTGATCGTAAAACTCGACAGCCGTGGGCTTTTTGGTTAAGTCATCAATTGTCCCTTCCTTATCACAAGTCGACAATAGGAATATTGTCTTTTGGGGATTTGGCTTGTATGTACTGTTGATGTACTTGCCTTCAGTTAAAGGTGGCTGTTCTGCCACAGAAAAAAATTCTTTCTCACAATCCGTTTCATAAGGCGGATCAGCCTCAAAGTTGTCTACTATCTCACTCTTAGAGCAGTTTTCTTCGTCACTATTATCATCTAACAACAGCTGACTAATAGTATCTAAAATAAAAATATAATCAAATAAAAATAATGTAAGTTCTAATTTCAATGTAGGCAAAATAAGTACAAAGTTTACAAAACACCGAAATAATTATAACACCAAAAAAAAAAAAAAAATAAATTTGCAAGAATAACGTTAATACTAACCTTCGTCGATTCGACGACTCATGGTGGCTGGAACGGCACACCCAGGGCCCCTACACAAAAAACACATTCGTGTGCCGCGGGAGCCTTGAGTCAACTAAGATCAGCCGGGATCTGAAAAGCCTACGACGACGCACTCAACATTTATACCACTTTTTTTGAGTCCGCGTCGTCGTTTTGACGAAGGTTAGTGATCTAGGGTTAAACTCCATCTAGTTTTTTTTCGTTAGTTGTTTCGGCAATCGTCAAGTATTCCATCGGAATGTCTTTGTCAACAAAGTGATCCGATGATAGTGCCAACATTGCTTTACGTCGGACATTGAATTAATTTGAGTCTTGACAATTATAGGTAAAAGACGTTGAAATGAATCATAGTTAAAGCCCTAGTGGTGGCAGCCACTTCGCTAGAGGTGGTATCTATCGTGCGCATGTATTTCGTTAGACTTACAAGGGAGACGGCGTCACGAATATTAGGCGCCCGGACCTTCGACGCGAATGCTCTGGTCGCATGGGCTCAACAAGACGCTCGTAGAGGTGGTTTGAGTAAGGGGAGTGAATCGAGTCTTCCTCTCCGAGCTATCGGTAACAGGCGATGGTGGCGACTCGCACTGGTAGGTCTTGTACAACAGTATAATGCCCACCAAAAGCAGGGCTGGCAGAAACAGAAGTAATACTGGGTGTTGTAGAAGATGATTCCGAGGACGCTGAAGCTGCCGTGCAGGGGCGGAGGCCCGGTCTGGATTCAGCTGGCTTCCTCTGTGGGTTAGGAGGCGGTTGTAAGTTACTAGGACCGGATCGTCGATTTATCATGTTTAACGACGTTGTGTGATACGCACCAGTGTGCGCTTTGATTTGCTAAAATCGTATTTTCAATAAAATACTTAATGGATGGCAATGTTTCCGAGTGCGACAACATTAGAATAAGGGGGGGGGTCCGTGATGAGATCTTATTCATCTAGCTCGTGTGACCGACTATCTTGTTCGTTTGTAGTTGGGTAGGCTATGGCGGGAATGAAATCCTTGCCCAAAAATGTTCTAAGTGGTATGCGCCTGGGACTAACACCCAGTTAGCGATAAGACATCGACGACTTTCGGAGCCGGGTCAAAGGGACAGTCCCCACTACCAACCTCTATAAGTGGGGAGGTAACCCAAAGATGTATGTGTTTTTGTACGATTCTCGTCAGTCTTGTCTAAACACATTACGAATTGATACGCTGGAAGAGGTGCACTTGTCTGAAGACACTATGAATTATTACGCTTGAAGGTGCGTGTTCAAATTTTACGTGGAGCGAGTTAGGTTGTGAGCGAAGGCGAAAGGCTTTTTAAAAAGCAAGAGGAGTACTTGTGCTCACTCTGAAGTTCAGGTTAAGACTAACTTTATTCAGGTTTTAAGATACAATATATATGATGTGAGAACAATGGTCATATGATGTGAGAACAATGGTCAATAGTAATCTTAATGCTTGCTGTTATTGCAGATAACAGGAAGCTATTTTAACTAAATACTTATTATCTAATTATAATAAAAGCTCTTGTCTTATGTCCCTCTGATAGCTGTAGTTCCACGAAAATACTTGTTATCTAATTACAATGACGGGCATTGTCTAATGTCCGTCTTATATAACTATTTCCATGAAGCTATTCTAAATGGATACTTATTATCTAATTACAATGAAGGGCATTGTCTAATGTCCGTCTTATAGTTATATAACTCCTCCCCCCTTAAGATGAAGGCGCGCCGAAGGCTGCGACTGGAGCTGGATGCTTTCAGCTTCCGGTTCTTGCGGGACTGAAGTGTGCGCCGACTTAGGTGTCCACCAGAATTTGTAGATTGCTACCAGCACTCCTGTTAGTAGTACCATGATGTATAAGGTGATCGACGACCAGCTAGGTGTGCTAGAGATGATTGCCGGTTTTTTTTATCGTAGCCTTGACCTCTTCTGACTGCTGTATCGCTTTCTTTAGGTTGTCCAGTTCGATGTTTTCCAATTTGATTTTAATTGGTAATAGTTTCGGTGTTTGATGTGCTCGGGGTAGCGGGATAGTTTCTCTGATGTTAATGTATTTTTGGTGTGTTGCTAAAGTTCTATCCATTACTAGAATCTTGCAGTTGTTGTCTGTTGTTACTAAGAAAACGCCTTTGTTTCGTTGGTATTGAACGTCGTTACCACATGTGGTTTTTATGACTTCTTCTTGTTTCATTATTACTATCCAGCTATTATCCCTGATTTGTTGTATGATGTTGTTTTCGAAGGTTGCTGTTGCATAGGTGCAGTTGTGTGGTTCTTGATGCTGAATCAGTTGAGCTATACAGTCATTGGAGTGCAGTAATGCGTTCCACTCTAGGTGTTTGCAGATGACCTCGTCTTCTATTATCTTGGTGCATGGCTTGTGAGGATAGGCGAACTTATTATTACCCAAGACTAGGAAAGGATTTTTGGGAACCAAGATTGTGTTATTGTCATTAGGAATGGAATATAGGTGTAGGAGGTTATATGGTTGTTCTGCAACTAATGGTATTTCTAGTATGAAGGTAATACTTTCGTTAGTGCTATATGCTTTTACTATAATGCTTTTTTCCCATAGTTGTATGTTGTTTAGAATTGGGGCAAACGGTAAGTTTCCACTGATTTCATTTTGAATATTATTTAGTTCTTCTATTAGATAGGAGGGGTCGATAATGCTCGGGTGCATTTTTTTAAGTTGTGCAAATGTGAGTGCGTTTTCTAGGGTATCTAGTCTATCATAGAGTTGTTGGAGTGAGCTTTCTATATCGTTGAAGATGTTTATTAACACCATATTATTTTCTTCCGTTGAATATCTGTCTATTGCTCTGTATATTTTTATTTGATTGTTTTTTATGGTTCTCAAATTGTTTTCATAATTTTTCATGAATTCTTGCATTATACTTATCGTTTTTCTTTGATTTGATTTATTATTGTTAAGTGATGTTTGTATTGCCTTGATTTCGTTATCGAATTTAGTTGCATCGTCTTGGTCTAGGTTTCCTGTAATGGTTTTTATTATCGTTCCTAGGCCATTTATAAGGCCACGTTTATATCTATATCCTAATCTATAGCCTATTGTTTCTAAGCCTAAGTAAATTAACTTACTTTCTACTGTGTCGATGCGATAATCTATTCTTTTGGTTATCGCGTCGTTATCTGCTGATGTATTTTGTTTTAATTTTATTGTATAATAATTGCTGCAGATCTCTAAATAAATTTCTCTTAACTTTGTAGTGTTGTAGACTACTGCTAAGTGGTATGTATCTAGTTGATATTGTGCCTTGGCTTCTGTTAGCACCAATATCCCATTGTGGCTGTCTATTGGCTGTATGATTGCTGTTGCTGCGGCGAGCCGGAGCACTGCGATGCAGGCGATGGCGTTCCTGAAACATGTTCAGGGCGCCTTAGTAAGCGGAAATGAACTCTTATTGTTTTGGCGTTTACGTGTTTGCCTACGATTTCCGCTATTTGCTCAGGGTGTATGCGCACTATTGTATACGGCCCTAGGTACTTTGGGTCAAGTTTGTTACTTCTTGTTGTTTTTGCTACTTGCTTGTATACTACATCGCCTACTTTAAATTGCGCTGTTTCTTTGTCTTTATTTGCTTTTTCTATTATTTGTTGCTTTTCGCTTGACAATTTGCTATTAATTAATTTTTGTGTGTTTTCCATGATCTGTTTGTGTTTAATAACGTATTCCTGATAAAATTCTTTAGGACAATGTAATTCTAATGGGTTTCTACTGTCTGTATGTCCGTACAGTAATTCGAAGGGTGTGAAGCCTGTTGAGGAATGAATTGTGTTATTGTATGCTATCATGGCATATTTCATAAGGTTTGTTGGTTCGTCCTTATCTGTTATTCTCTGTATTCTTATTATTTCAGCTAATGTGGAGTGTAGTCTTTCAATTGGTGAGTTTGAGTTAGGGTTATAAGGTGTTGTGAAGTGTATGTGTATGTTATGCATAGCACATATCTCTGAGATGACTTCATTGTCGAACTTTGAATCAGAGTCCGTTGTGATTTTCTTAGGTACCCCTATTACTGAAAATAACCCAAGTAGTGCTTCTGCGATGTGAATGCTAGTTGAGGCTGTGAGTGGTATTGCTTGTGCGTATTTTGTAAAATTGTCTATTATAGTGAGGAACGTCGTGCCTCCACTGCTGTACAGGTCCATGAACATATGTTCCATTGGTCTATGTGGTGTATCTGTTAGTGATAATGGTAGTTTTAGAGGGTTACGTTCGTATTTACTTTTAAGACAGCTATCGCATTTATTTATGAATTTTTGTATTGAGGGTAACATATTTGGCCAGTGATAGTTCCTGTGTAGATGTTTGTATGTTTCCTGTATTCCTCTGTGTATTGTTTTTCCTTCATGGTATTTCCTTATTAGGTCAATTTGTTCGGAAATATTTTCTATTAATGTGACTCTACTTTTGCATCTAATTAATTTTGGTCCACGATTATTAAATACTGATTTATATACTTCACAGAATAATTTATAGTATTCTTCGTGATGAAAGAAACAATGAAAAATTCTGTCTGGGATTGTGTGTTCTTTTAGGAATGATATTATTTGGTCTTTTGTATTGTTGATTGGAATCCAGACGTCTTTGATAATAGTTTTTCCTTTTGATCTATCGTCGACTCTGTATGTGTCTCCTGGTGTTTTTCGTATGTGTAGTTGTTTTAATTGTCTATCAATTGCGTCATCTATTTCTGGTATTTCGTCAATCACTGTTGTTTCCTGGTTATTATCTGTGATTTGAGGTGTTACTGACGTTGGTGTTTGGTTTTCCTGTGATTGATTTTTTATGTCGGGAGTGATAGGCATATCTAATAACGTTCTAATATCTATGTTGGCTATGTCTAAATCGTCGTGCGAAGTGCTAGGTTGAGGTTTGTCTGTGTCAGGATTATCATTTATTTTGTTGTGGTGCACCGTTTGAATTCTTGATAGTGCATCAGCGTTTGTATTGGCTTTGCCTTTTTTATATTGGACATCATAATTGTATTCTGCTAATCTTAGACGCCAGCGCGTAAGTTTAGAGTTTGGATCTTTGATGGACATGATCCATGTGAGTGGGCGGTGGTCAGTGTAAATAGTAAATTTCTTTCCATATAAGTAAGGGCGGAAATACTTGATTGCCCATACGATGCTCAATAATTCCTTCTCTATTGTATTTTTGTTTGTGTGTGGTGGGGGGGGGGGGGGGTCTTTTTTTTTTTTTTGGTTTTTGGTTTTTTTTGGGTTGAGTATCTTGTTTCTGTGTCTGATAGTGTGCGTGATGCGTATGCTACTGGTTTGTCTGACCCTAATTGTCCTTGAGATAATACTGCGCCTATTGCTACGTCTGATGCGTCTGTAGTGAGAATAAAAGGTTTTTCGAAATCTGGATATTGTAGTATTGGTGCATTAATGAGTACTTGTTTGCATTTCTCGAATGCTTGTGTGTATTCTTTTGTTAATTCAATTTTGCTACCTTTTTTTAGACACTTTGTTAATGGTTTAGTTAGCTTTGCAAAATCCTGGATGAACTTTCTGTAGTATCCCACTAGCCCGAGGAATGATTTGATTTCCTTCTGTGTTTTGGGTATTGGGAAGTTTTTAACCGCTGCGATTTTATCTTCGTTTGGCTGAAGGCCTTTATCTGTTAGTGTATGACCTAGGAATTTAACTTGTTTTTGTAGGAATTCTGATTTGCTTAATTGTATTTTGAGATTATGTGTTCTGAATCTGTCGAAAACTTGTTTGCATTTGTCAAGATGTTCCTGTAGGGATGTGGAATATATAATTACGTCATCTAGGTACGTTAATACGTTACCTAGTCCTCGCAATACTGAATCCATCAATTTTTGGAAAGTACTTGGTGCGTTTTTTAAACCGAATGGCATCCTGAGAAACTCATAATGTCCGCGATCGATAGTGAATGCTGTTTTTTCGACGTCTTCTGGGTGCATTTCTACTTGATGATAGCCAGAGGCTAAATCTAATGTGGTAAAATACTGTGCTCGACCTAGTTTATCTAATATGTCATCTATGTTGGGTAGAGGGTATTTATCTTCTATTGTTTTGTCGTTTAGTTTTCTGTAATCAATCACTAGTCTATACTTCTGTTCTCCTGAAGCATCAACTTTTTTTGGTACTATGTGTACTGGGCAAGACCAAGGGGAGTTGCTTTCCTGTATAATATTGTTTTTCAAGAGCTGATTAATTTGTTTTTTGATCTCCTCTTTTTGTTTTGGTGCCTGTCTATAGTTACGCACATAGATGGGTTTATTATCCGTGAGTCTTAGTTGGTGTTTTATTTTGTGAGTGAAAGTTAATGGTATATTTCCTCGCAATGGAAGATGTCGCGGTAGTTGTAACAGAGTTTCCTAATTTCACGCTCTTCCTCCGGGTTCATGTGACTTGTTCTTAATCTGTCTAGATTTTGTTTTAGTATTTTGTCTTTCTTGTTTTCTATTTTCGTGTTCTTGTTATCCGTGTCTTTTTGAATTTTATTTTTTATTTTTAAAGGTTGGAAATGTAGTGGGCTACTGTTTTTAAAATTAATTTCTTTATCGGATGTGTTTATTACAGTCATTAATGTATTTCCTTCTTTTACTGATATTAGTGCTGGTGGGAATATTAATCCGTTTTTTGTTGTTTTTTTTATCGGAAAAATATTCTCCTTCTTTATAGTTACATAGTAAATTAATTACTTGTTCACATCTGGGTGCTATTTTGCTGTATGATTTTATGTCGTCCCTTATGTATGGATGTCTATTTTGCAGTTTAGTGGAACGAGTAAATCTAATCCTAGTAGTCCTACAAAATCCGAATCAAAGTTAAAAACTAAAAACTTGTGTGTAATATCATCGTTAAATAATTTTTCTGGAAGTTTTATGTATGCTACTTGTTTATGTTTCGATGTTGCGTGCGCTGTTTTAATGAAATGTGTTTCGTTTTTTATTTTAATGTTAAGGTTTTTCTTTTCCTTCAGAATTCGCGGATGTATTAATGATTGTGAAGCTCCTGTATCTAAAAGAAATCTGCCGCCTAACTCTTCTATGAATATGTAGGGAAGTCGGTTATAGTTTTGTATGTTATTCATAAAGACTATATTTTCAGTTGATTTTCCAAATCTAGGAGAAAATTTTCATCTTGGACCTCCTCGGAGATATTTTCCTCGGTGTCCTGCTCTGATGATGACTGATTGTCTTCATCATCATTTGTTTCGCTTTGACAGTGTAGTTTCTTTACTGATTCTGTATTGTTTTGCGGGCTTTTATTTTTATTAAATCCGTCTTTCTTTTGGAAAGTACCTGATTTTGTTGTTTTATTGTTTGTGGAGGTTTTGTATGTGCTTGATTTGTTTTGTTGTGCACGCCTAGTTCTGAGCTTTACCTCCTCCTGTTTTGCTACCGTTATGGCTTGATCTAAATTTTCCACACTTTTTAACTTTATAAGTATCGCGGTTATTGGGTTAAGTTTATCTAGAAAAGTTTCTAAAGCCATCTGCTCATAGTAAACTCTTTTGCTTGGATCAGTTGATATTAATGTGCTCATTAAGAGTCTGATTCTATCACCGAACGCATCTATTGAACTGTTATCTCTAGTGATGTTCATTAATTCCTGCACTAATTGAATTTCGGTGCGAAATTCGCCAAATTTCTTTTGGAGAACCGATTTTATGTTTGGCCAAGTTTTTGTGCCAGGGTTCTCGGATAAAGCTTCGACAGCTTTTCCTGTTAATTTGTTTCTAATGGGACAAGCAATGCATTCGTCGTCTCTATTAGTAATTAGCTCCAGAGCATTCTCGACACCTTCGATGTAGAATGCTAACGTCCTCTTGTTCCCATCGTAACTGGGCAATAGTCTTGAGAACGTTGAATAGTCGGTAGGTACCGGCTTTTCATCAATAACAGGTTTTTCTTCATGTACCTTCTTATCGTTTGCCATTTTTATCAAAAACAAGAAGTGAACAATGGGTAGAAGCACCTAGCGAGTGTTTTAAGTATTTATACTACTATTGGTCCCTAGACACTAGAAAACACCACAAAAGTTGTGTCACTGTTATTATGTCCGGGATAGTGAAAGGAGTCTCGGGAATAATCAGAATAAATGCTTACCCCACGAGCATGGCCGATGAGAGGCTGTTGATTTTTGGTGAATCTTCCTGACTTCTGCTGGATTCTACTGCCTGCCGCCGATGCCTGCTGCTGCTCACGGTAGGTTCTTGATGCACGTCACGGAACAAGGTATTAAGGAATTCTCCACTGGAACCGATGAACGCGACGTACCGACTGCGCCAGTTAGGTTGTGAGCGAAGGCGAAAGGCTTTTTAAAAAGCAAGAGGAGCACATGTGCTCACTCTGAAGTTCAGGTTAAGACTAACTTTATTCAGGTTTTAAGATTGTAGCGGCGCTGTCGTCGCGCCACTAGCACACCGAAACACACCGATGCCTAAATCGCGCTATCAACGTTTCGAATCATAAACAGTATATATAGAACATCTCCGAATTATTACACGGAGTGTTGGCCGCTCCCCGGGCAGAACACCTTGCCCGGCGGGAGATCTCCCCTTTTCCTTCCACGGCCACAGTGGTGACCCCGACGTGATCTGAACAAGCAACTAACAACTTTCGGAAACTTCAAGCTTCATCATCGTCATTGAATACCCCACCCATTCGCTCCCGAGCAGATATCGTCTGCAGTCTTCATATCCTGCAAGCCAGCTAGCTTCACAAGGTTCATCGCAGCACTGGAATAATAATGCTTCCTGTTCCTTCAAGCTACTCTCTGCGCCATACAGTGTTCGGCACGGCTCTGAGCCTTACTGCTCGCCTCTGCTTCACGGCACTCTCGCAGATTACTTGCCTCCTTCTCGACTCACCGTAGACTACAAGGCAATCTCCTGGCACTTGCACATTCGTCGACAACGAGACTGCACTATCGACCTCCGGTCTGAGCAGGGGGGTGATGTAGCGGCGCTGTCGTCGCGCCACTAGCACACCGAAACACACCGAAGCCTAAATCGCGCTATCAACGTTCCGAATCATAAACAGTATATATAGAACATCTCCGAATTATTACACGGAGTGTTGGTCGCTCTCCGGGCAGAACACCTTGCCCGGCATGAGATCTCCCCTTTTCCTTCCACCGCCACAAGATACAATATATATGATGTGAGAACAATGGTCATATGATGTGAGAACAATGGTCAATAGTAATCTTAATGCTTGCTGTTATTGCAGATAACAGGAAGCTACTTTAAGTAAATACTTATTATCTAATTATAATAAAAGCTCTTGTCTTATGTCCCTCTGATAGCTGTAGTTCCACGAAAATACTTGTTATCTAATTACAATGACGGGCATTGTCTAATGTTCGTCTTATATAACTATTTCCATGAAGCTATTCTAAATGGATCATCATCATCATCATCATCATTACAGCCCTTCACAAGTCCACTGCTGAACATAGGCCTCCCCCAAGTAATGCCACAAATAAATGAATGAATCTAAATGGATACTTATTATCTAATTACAATGAAGGGCATTGTCTAATGTCCGTCTTATAGTTATATAACTAGCGTCAAAATTCATCTGGCCCTCTTCATTAAAAGCAAGAACTCTGTTGTTAATAGTCTGGCGCACACAATAATTTGACATTAACAGGCTAGGGCAACCGCAACTATCCATATCTATAACCGAGTCGCTAGTGAGTGCACAAGAAAGGCAGCTGTTAGGGAGGAGTGGAGGCGTATTGTAGAGCGTGCCACAACACCCAAGTGACGACCACGACCGCTCTGTCAAGAGCGTATCGACTGAGAAGAGGAAGAAGATTATGACTGACGTATATAAGGTTCAAATGCCGTCTTTTGCCTCCTTGATGGAAAGCGATTAGTTTATAACGTCCGTTATAAATTGTTGACACTTGATCTTCATTGCTTGGGATATACGTACTCACTTGATGTACTCGTCTTCCCTGGCTCTCATCGTAATCTCCAAGTCTCTCGAAACTGCCTGCTCTGACTGAATATCGTCTTGTTCGTCCATCTCTCCATCTAACTCGGTAGCAGCCATCGTCTGCAATGCTCCCAATCCCTTCTGTTCCGGCACATAGTTCTTTACTTTCACCTCCCGGATCTTGTTCCAATCTATTATCCCCTTTTCGTCCCTAGGTTAGGTTAGGTTAGGTTTTAGGTTCATTTCATTATCTACTACTACACATATATGACACGATGACATCATAAAAAACATGATGTAATAATAAGTAATGTTGATTATTCAATGTACCATAACACCACACCCAACCCCACCCTACAACCCAACATAATAACTGCCGATTGAATTAGCAAAATTGACACTTTAATTACCGATAGCAATTAAAACTTAAAATACACTAAAAATAAATCACACTTAACACTTTACTTCACTTTATTTCGTTCCGAAGTCTTCGCTTGTGTCGCCAATTAAATACTGCCCGGTCGCGCTCCTTACGGACTTTATGTACGAACTTTTCCACCGAAAACACCTTAGAACGTTCAAGTAGAATGCGAAAGTTCTAGCAAAGAATCCTCCACAAAGCCCTCGCTACTCGATACTAGAAGACGCTAGTTGGAAAGTTCTAGAAAGATCTTATCGCTCCTATTTCTGCTACTTAATACTAAATGGATGATTTTCCTTATTCGATTTGCTTGTTCACAGGTTTCTATGCTACCACAGAATTTGCGCCACCCTGTTGAGCGTCGATACCTGATATATTTTTTGTATTCAGACTTAGCTTTCTTATATAGAAGCCAGTCTTCGCCCTTTGAGGTATTCATTGCCCTATTTAGGGCTTTTCTTACCTTCTTACGTTTCTTGTCTAGTTTTTTACCCCACCACTGTTGCTTTTGCTCAGCATGTTTTGGTGGAGTGATTACTGGACATGATTCATGGTAGCTATCGATCATGGATTTAGTGACAGCTGCTACCTGTTCTTCTAGGAGCGATTGATCTGCTATGGTATTAGTTCCCCCAACACCCGCGAGCGAAGACGTCAGCCTATTGAGGTATTTTGTTTTATACATCTTGCGGGGATTTCTCTATGGAAGTATAGCGGGGATATCGACCTGTAGTACGTAGCAGATCCATCTGTGGTCTGAGCATGAGGCCTCTTTCGACATATGCCATCCTGTTATTAGTTTAGCTGCTCCTTCTGTTGCAAGTGTGAGGTCGATTATTGTGCGACAGCGTTTATTTATAAAGGTTGGTTCAGAACCAGTGTTTAAAATGGTTAGGTTAGTGCTAAATAAATATTCCACTAAAATCTTACCTCGTTCATTGGGTTTTTCCATTCCCCAAAGGGGGGTGATGCGCATTGGAGTCCGTCCCGATTACAACCTCTATTTACTACTAATTTCATTATCCAGGAAAGTGCTAAAAGAGTGCGGGGCGGGGAGCAACGGGAAGTTGGCGATATGGCGAAAGCACTAGGTGCGCGTCGTCTATTACACGAATGGTTAGTGATCTAGGGTTAATTGATGTTGGTACTTCAACTCCATCTATTATTGCTTTTTTTATTTATTAATTTTATATATAAAGTTATTGACACAATGACAGAAACAATACATGGCGCAGTCTCAAGGATACTGATTTATGATGTTTCGGCATTCGTCAAGTATTCCATCGGAAGGTTGTTGTCAACAAAGTGATCCGATGATGGTGCTAACATTGCTTCACGACGGACATTGAATTAATTGGGGTCTTGACAATTATATTCAAGTCCTAGTGGTGGCAGCCACTTCGCTAGAGGCGGTGTCCATCGTGCGCACGTATTTCGCCACACTTAAAAGGGAGGCGGTGTCACGAATATTGGGCATTTCCGTGATTGACGTTAACTAGCTCTTCTATTTCTACAGAAGAAAGTAGAGGACAACAATACAACCGTTCACTTTCTTCTGCAGAAGGACTTGCAAACGTCAATGACTTCTGGCTTCGACGTCGTGTAGCAGGCGGCGCGTCTCCAGAGGCTGATGAGCTCTGCGAGCTCAGCGGTATTCCTAAATCGATATGATGAAAATTTATGTTAGTCTACGTAATTTGTCCTAAATAGTTTTAGACTTAAAAGTTCAGATTAACATACCGAGATCCGGTGTTAATGCGGGCCTCCGTGGCCTCGACCCCTCTGAAGTACGCTGCAAAAGAGTCGCCTGGTCTTCCATGTTAATGGAGCCGCCGGGGGGTTGTTAACGCTTACATTAAATGATGTTGGTATTTAAACTCCATCTAGTTTTTTTTCGTTAGTTGTTTCGGCAATCGTCAAGTATTCCATCGGAATGTCTTTGTCAACAAAGTGATCCGATGATAGTGCCAACATTGCTTTACGTCGGACATTGAATTAATTTGAGTCTTGACAATTATAGGTAAAAGACGTTGAAATGAATCATAGTTAAAGCCCTAGTGGTGGCAGCCACTTCGCTAGAGGTGGTATCTATCGTGCGCATGTATTTCGTTAGACTTACAAGGGAGGCGGCGTCACGAATATTAGGCGCCCGGACCTTCGACGCGAATGCTCTGGTCGCATGGGCTCAACAAGACGCTCGTAGAGGTGGTTTGAGTAAGGGGAGTGAATCGAGTCTTCCTCTCCGAGCTATCGGTAACAGGCGATGGTGGCGACTCGCACTGGTAGGTCTTGTACAACAGTATAATGCCCACCAAAAGCAGGGCTGGCAGAAACAGAAGTAATACTGGGTGTTGTAGAGGAAGATTCCGAGGACGCTGAAGCTGCCGTGCAGGGGCGGAGGCCCGGTCTGGATTCAGCTGGCTTCCTCTGTGGGTTAGGAGGCGGTTGTAAGTTACTAGGACCGGATCGTCGATTTATCATGTTTAACGACGTTGTGTGATACGCACCAGTGTGCGCTTTGATTTGCTAAAATCGTATTTTCAATAAAATACTTAATGGATGGCAATGTTTCCGAGTGCGACAACATTAGAATATTGGGGGTCCGTGATGAGATCTTATTCATCTAGCTCGTGTGACCGACTATCTTGTTCGTTTGTAGTTGGGTAGGCTATGGCGGGAATGAAATCCTTGCCCAAAAATGTTCTAAGTGGTATGCGCCTAGGACTAACACCCAGTTAGCCATAAGACATCGACGACTTTCGGAGCCTGGTCAAAGGGACAGTCCCCACTACCAACCTCTATAAGTGGGGAGGTAACCCAAAGATGTATGTGTTTTTGTACGATTCTCGTCAGTCTTGTCTAAACACATTACGAATTGATACGCTGGAAGAGGTGCACTTGTCTGAAGACATTATGAATTAATACGCTGGAAGGTGCGTGTTCAAATTTCACGTGGAGCGTCAAAATTCATCTGGCCCTGTTCATTAAAAGCAAGAACTCTGTTGTTAATAGCCTGGCGCACACAATAATTTGACATTAACAGGCTAGGGCAACCGCAGCTATCCATATCTATAACCGAGTCGCTAACTGATTCTGGTTTCTTTTTTACGGAATAGGTCAACCATTATCTTGAGCTCCGTAAAATCGTCGCGCACATTCTGCTCGTCAAAATCTTGAGGCATGATATCATCCGAGTTGGCTAGCACCGGGTTACCTGAATGTCCAATCCAAATTAATCCAGGGATGGAGTTTGTTGCGTAGAAACTATCGCGGATGTGTACTGGTGTTTCCGCATTGCTTAAGACTTCTACTGTATGTCGAAGGTTGTTTAAGGAGTCCGCACACTAATGGGAACGGAAAGGGATCGTAACCGTATCGCCTCGAGTCGTTCAGAATGGTTTGTACAAGGTGTCTCAAAAGAAAGTTCACATTTAAATCTTTTTTTTAAAAGAAAAGTCTTAGCTTTATTGAAAAAATGTTTATTTTATATTGAAGTACACTGTTTGGGAATTTATTTTTTAAAAATAACATTGTCCAAATGTAAACCGTTGCGCTCTCGGCATTCATTTAGTCGGGCACTAAAATTGCCTATGACAGCTCGGCAGGTAGTCTCCGTGATGGCTGCCATTTCATGACGGATATTTTCTTTTAATTGTGCCAGGGAAGTCGGTTTATTAGCGTAAACTTTTGATTTGACATAACCCCACAGGAAAAAATCCATAGGCGTTAAATCGGGACTCCGTGGAGGCCAATTTATGTCACCTCGCCAGGAGATTAATTTGTTCGGAAAAATTTCTCGAACTCGAGGCAGAGATCTGTTGGACGTGTGTGAAGTTGCTCCATCCTGCTGGAACCATGTTCTTTGGTTGTAACCAGGAAAGTTTTGCAGTTGGGGTACGAAAAACTCGTCTAACATCTCCACATAACGCTCTGAATTCACTGTGAGTGTGCGTCCCCTTCCATCTTCAAAAAAGTAAGGGCCGATAATTCCTCGCGCCGACATCGCTGCCCATACGGTGACTTTGGGTGAATGTAGCGGTTTCTGATGTTTTTGTTTTGGGTTGGTTGCACTCCAGTAACGACAATTTTGCTTGTTTACATGCCCATTCAGGTGAAAATGGGCTTCATCGGAAAACAAGATGTTGGTGAACGTTGGAAAGCGCTCAATCATCTGATTTACAAAGGCAAGCCTCTGACCAGCATCTTGAGGCTTCAGTTCTTGCACTAACTGAATTTTGTACGGGTGCAGCTTTAAATCTTTGTGTAAAATGCGGCATAATGAAGATCTGTGCACATTTAAAGCAACAGCACGCTTCCGAATCGAGAGGTTTGGATCATCTCGAATAGACTGAGTAACACTGTCCACGTTTTCGGCTGTTCTTGATGTTCTTGGTCGCCCAGATTTTGGTTTCTCCAGAGTTGACCCAGTCTCTTCAAACTTCTCAACCCATTTTGCAATGAGACGAGTGCTAGGCGCATCATTTGAGTGACGAATATGTCGAATACTGAAGAATTTTCTACGCGCTACAGTCGCCGAATTACCGTTTTTGTAAAACTCACGTACGCACAACGCACGGTCCGCACCAGAGAAACGCTCCATAGCGACTAAATTCCCAAGAGCCAGACTACCGACTGACATACCCCCCCGCGCCCCTCAGAATAGTTGCTTTCGCGTAATAAGATAAGCAAATGTGAACTTACTTTTGAGACATCTAGTATTTAACTCCCTACTGCAACGCACATTAATCGGAATCGTACCGTGATCGCCTCCCCTCAGAACAGGCTCCGAACTTGCAATTCCCGCGCTTACGGCTCCTTACGTCTCTCCGTCCCCGCGCTTACGTCTCTCCATCCCCTGTCCCCTCCTGCGACTTGCGTGCTAAAGAGAAAGACGCCGCCATCCTGCCATTCGCAAGGCGTATTTCATTTGTGTTGCGCGTATGTTTTATTTAAAATTTTAAGTTAGATTCAAACACAAAATAACGATGCATAGGGAGAAACTTATTGAAGAAGTGAGAAAATATCCATATTTATATGACTTAAGTGACGCTAAATACAGTAATAGTATAAAAAAGGACGAGGCTTGGAAACAAATAAGTATTACTTTAAAGCAATCTGGTAAGTACCTACTCCTATTTAATTTTTTATCTAATGTTTTTCGCGTATGTAGGTATGTATGGGAAATAAAACAGTTGTGATTAATATAATTTATGTGATTATTATAATGTAAAATTTAACTGTAATATCCATTAAGAATTAACATTAATATTTAAAGCTAAAAGCTACAATTCTGCCATGGTACTCGTCCGGTAGAAGTTTGAAAATATGTTTTGAACATTTCACGTACATTAAAAGCAGTAGCCGTATGGACACCACTAATATTTGGTAATTGACTTAACAATCGGTCTTCGCCGAATTCAACTGTAATTTCATGTTCTGTTCTGTTCGGTTCCTGTAAATTCATCTCAATGTTATATGTCCTCATCATGTTGTGTAAAATGCAAGTTGTTAATACCACTTTATCTACAAACTTTAGATGCAATTTAATATTTTTGTTGTAAATCGCAAATTTTTGATATAAAATTCCAAAAGCGTTTTCAACAACCCTTCTAGCTCGTGATAAGCGGTAATTATATTGCCGTTCAGGATCTGATAGTCTCCGTGTATTTGAGCGAGGATATGGTCTTAATAAATATGTCTTCAATGGAAATGCCTCGTCTCCCACGAATACATGTGGCATTGCATGATTAGTACCTGGTAATGGTTTGTCACATGGAATATTTAATGTGTTTCTTTCAAGTGCCTTTCCAAATGTAGATGACGAATAGATTCCGCCATCGCTGTTTTTTCCATAGGCTCCGACATCAACCGCTATGAATCTGTATTCAGGATCAACTATAGCTAACAAAACAATAGAAAATGTTTTTTTATAGTTAAAAAACAACGATCCACTACTGGGAGGTGCAATTATATTTACATGTTTGCCGTCAATGGCGCCTATGCAATTCGGAAAGTTCCATTTATTTTTAAATCCTTCTTCGATTCCTTGCCATGCGGCTGTAGTTGGTTGAGGTATATGAATTGGCATTAATTTATTTATTATTGCATTGCACACATCTATTACTATCAAACGAATAGTTGAATCTCCTAAACGGAAGCTCGATGATAAATTAGTAAATGTAGATCCAGTTATGAAGTACCTGCAACAATAAATGTATATTTATATAATACGTGTATATGTTTATGTGAATGTGTGCGTGTACGTACTCCCTTTCACACATACCTACATTATGTAACTACATGCGCTTGACATAGTTAACCATGATTTATTTTATTTCAGAATCTGAATGCAAGAAAACTTGGTTAAATCTTAGAGAGTCTCACCGACGAGCTATGAAGAAGCGTAAAATTAAGAGTGGTCAGGCAGCCCCGACGACGAAAAAGTGGACCTTTGAAGATGAAATGAGTTTTTTAGTACCTCATTATAAAGAAAGAAATACGATCTCTTCGGTTGATTATGATGACGATTCAGATAGCAGTTTCTTGGGTAATGATGATTCACAGAACTCAATAAACATAATTCAGTCTCCAGAAAACTCACAACCGAAAACTTCTGCACTTTCGCCGCGTCCTAAGTCTTCTGCATCTTCAGTTACATCCAAAAATTCAAAAAAAAAAGTTGAAAGCAATTCAGCGTCACAAACTTTAGTGAAATATTTATTAAATCACAACGAAACCAAAAAAGAAGATGAGATAGATACATTTTTTAACAGCATTGCGGCAACGGTTAAAAAATTTTCTGAATATAACCAAGCGGTTATAAAAAGTAAAATATATAACGCAGTTTCGGAAATGGAGTTAAAAGAAATCGCAGAGAAACAAAGCTATTACAGTTACCGCAACCCTTACTTTCCCCAAAGAGAAGATGACATGCCTCGAGGTTATACCACTCTAAATAACATTAGCCACGAGATACAATCAACATCTGGCGCTTCAAACATTGATGATTTTAATATGTCAAACTTAGAAGAAAATGGCACGTCAAATGCTGACGATCTTAATACTTCAAACATTCTTTAATTTATACAATGATTGTATTTTTGTTGTAGCAATTATAGTATAGTAATTTATACAATGATTGTATTTTAGTTGTAAAATAATTTTATCGACAGGGGGTAAAAATTAATCTATCTCGGAGTTTCGGAACCGAGTTTTATTTTCTACACTACAGACGCCAGCACATCAACCTACTACAATCTGTCAAAATTCTTTAATAGATTTTCAACTTTATCGCTAAAGCATTAGGTTCAAAGTTGATTGGGAAAAGCTGGCGTCTGTACAAATATTTTTGTGGACCAGATTAAAAATTCCAAAAACAAATGCAATTTCTCACCTTAACGTTACAGCTAGTTTTTCTTCGGGCGATATTGTTTCTCTGAATGTTGTATTCTTCTTCCTTATACATTCATCTATAGACTGCAATATGTTATAAAAGAGAAATTTCGGCATATGAAAATAAATATAAAATTTCTCTTCATCATCCATCAAATGTTTTTTATAGTCCGAAATTCCCCTTCAGTACTCCTTGCTTTATTCATATTGTGTACCCATTATCTTTTCCTTTTTTTCTTGCTATTTTCTTTTTCCTCTTCATCAAGTACTATGGCTATGATAGCCAACTCACGTATTGTAAACCAAGACATAACCGTGCGCTACACTTAACGTTTGGATTCAAACTGATCTGGTGCCAACCAGGTCAGCCAGCGGGCGGCGAGGCGTAAGCGCGGTGTCGCCTAGCCGTAGCCGAGTTGACGTACAGGCGCTGCTGATACGCTTTCGTTACGTGCATACGGTAGGTTGACGCCTGGTTGACAGCGAGGTGAAAGGCGATACGGTTACGATCCCTTTCCGTTCCCATTAGTGTGCGGATTCCTTTATGGTTACATTAACCGATATTGGTACTTCAACTCCATCTACTATTGCTTTTTTTCCTTTATTAATTGTATACGTAAAGTTATTGACACAATAACAGAAACAATACGTGGCGCAGTCTCAAGGATACTGATTTATGTTAGTTGTTTCGGCATTCGTCAAGTATTCCATCGGAAGGTCGTCGTCAACAAAGTGGCTTATATCTCCTTTTTTTCCACAGAAGTCGGGCGCTCTTCTCATTGGTTGCGAGAGTCACGTGACATTCTAGAACTTTCTTCTTTCCCCTCTCACCCCACCACCCCGGTGTGTCGGGAGGACGATAAGTTATGGAAAGGACAAAACGCTTGGCGAGCATACCCTCGAATAAAATAAAAATACGAATGGTTTTCAGCGCAACCACCGATTCTTGAAATACCAAAAATGGATTTAGTTTTTATCCTTTCGTTGTATTGTTTTGAACGGACAAATTCAATGCCTTCAGGCGATCTAGTAAGCACTTGCATAGCTTCAGATTCTGTGAAAGCACCATTTTTGCATAAAAGTAAAATAATATCTGAATTTCGATAGTAACTGCTGCTATTTTTCCATTGTCAGTGTTGTATTTTCAGTTTTCCCTCCATGTAATTTTTTTTCCATTGAACTTCAATGCCATTGCCGTCTCTTTCTCGTATGTTATTATCGGTTTTATCAGCTTCATCCACCAGTCTTGGCTGTTTCGCTTCAGATGTACTGCTTTCATTTCCATGTATTGTATTTCTCCCTCCGGTACATTCAGCCTCGTACATTTTCTTTGTCCATTTATTGATCCCGTCCATTCTACATGAATGACTGGCGCATTGAAAAGTTTCTACAAGTTCGTCGCCGAGAATGACCTGTACGATTGGACGACCATTGCCGGAATAAATATACTTGCGTATACAAGCGAGGCAGTTAATGCTTGAAAAAATTCCCACTGTCTAGGGCGGGGGGTTATGACTGACGTATATAAGGTGCAAATGCCGTCTTTTGCCTCCTTGATGGAAAGCGATTAGTTTATAACGTCCGTTATAAATTGTTGACACTTGATCTTCATTGCTTGGGATATACGTACTGACTTGATGTACTCGTCTTCCCTGGCTCTCATCGTAATCTCCAAGTCTCTCGAAACTGCCTGCTCTGACTGAATATCGTCTTGTTCGTCCATCTCTCCATCTAACTCGGTAGCAGCCATCGTCTGCAATGCTCCCAATCCCTTCTGTTCCGGCACATAGTTCTTTACTTTCACCTCCCGGATCTTGTTCCAATCTATTATCCCCTTTTCGTCCCTAGGTTAGGTTAGGTTAGTTAGGTTTTAGGTTCATTTCATTATCTACTACTACACATATATGACACGATGACATCATAAAAAACATGATGTAATAATAAGTAATGTTGATTATTCAATGTACCATAACACCACACCCAACCCCACCCTACAACCCAACATAATAACTGCCGATTGAATTAGCAAAATTGACACTTTAATTACCGATAGCAATTAAAACTTAAAATACACTAAAAATAAATCACACCTAACACTTTACTTCACTTTATTTCGTTCCGAAGTCTTCGCTTGTGTCGCCAATTAAATACTGCCCGGTCGCGCTCCTTACGGACTTTATGTACGAACTTTTCCACCGAAAACACCTTAGAACGTTCAAGTAGAATGCGAAAGTTCTAGCAAAGAATCCTCCACAAAGCCCTCGCTACTCGATACTAGAAGACGCTAGTTGGAAAGTTCTAGAAAGATCTTATCGCTCCTATTTCTGCTACTTAATACTAAATGGATGATTTTCCTTATCCGATTTGCTTGTTCACAGGTTTCTATGCTACCACAGAATTTGCGCCACCCTGTTGAGCGTCGATACCTGATAAATTTTTTGTATTCAGACTTAGCTTTCTTATATAGAAGCCAGTCTTCACCCTTTGAGTTATTCATTGCCCTATTTAGGGCTTTTCTTACCTTCTTACGTTTCTTGTCTAGTTTTTTACCCCACCACTGTTGCTTTTGCTCAGCATGTTTTGGTGGAGTGATTACTGGACATGATTCATGGTAGCTATTGATCATGGATTTAGTGACAGCTGCTACCTGTTCCTCTAGGAACGATTGATCTGCTATGGTATTAGTTCCCCCAACACCCGCGAGCGAAGACGTCAGCCTATTGAGGTATTTTGTTTTATACGTCTTGCGGGGATTTCTCTATGGAAGTATAGCGGGGATATCGACCTGTAGTACGCAGCAGATCCATCTGTGGTCTGAGCATGAGGCCTCTTTCGACACATGCCATCCTGTTATTAGTTTAGCTGCTCCTTCTGTTGCAAGTGTGAGGTCGATTATTGTGCGACAGCGTTTATTTATAAAGGTTGGTTCAGAACCAGTGTTTAAAATGGTTAGGTTAGTGCTAAATAAATATTCCACTAAAATCTTTCCTCGTTCATTGGGTTTTTCCATTCCCCAAAGGGGGTGATGCGCATTGGAGTCCGTCCCGATTACAACCTCTATTTACTACTAATTTCATTATCCAGGAAAGTGCTAAAAGAGTGCGGGCGGGGGGCAACGGGAAGTTGGCGAAATGGCGAAAGCACTAGGTGCGCGTCGTCTATTACACGAATGGTTAGTGATCTAGGGTTAATTGATGTTGGTACTTCAACTCCATCTATTATTGCTTTTTTTATTTATTAATTTTATACATAAAGTTATTGACACAATGACAGAAAGAATACATGGCGCAGTCTCAAGGATACTGATTTATGTTGTTTCGGCATTCGTCAAGTATTCCATCGGAAGGTTGTTGTCAACAAAGTGATCCGATGATGGTGCTAACATTGCTTCACGACGGACATTGAATTAATTGGGGTCTTGACAATTATATTCAAGTCCTAGTGGTGGCAGCCACTTCGCTAGAGGTGGTGTCCATCGTGCGCACGTATTTCGCCACACTGAAAAGGGAGGCGGTGTCACGAATATTGGGCATTTCCGTGATTGACGTTAACTAGCTCTTCTATTTCTACAGAAGAAAGTAGAGGACAACAATACAACCGTTCACTTTCTTCTGCAGAAGGACTTGCAAACGTCAATGACTTCTGGCTTCGACGTCGTGTAGCAGGCGGCGCGTCTCCAGAGGCTGATGAGCTCTGCGAGCTCAGCGGTATTCCTAAATCGATATGATGGAAATTTATGTTAGTCCACATAATTTGTCACAAAATGTTTGAGACTTTAAATTTGTTCAGATTTACATACCGAGATCCGGTGTTAATGCAGGCCTCCATGGCCTCAATCCCCCTGAAGTACGCTGCAAAAGAGTCGCCTCGTCTTTCATGTTAATGGAGCCGCCGGGGGGTTGTTAACGCTTACATTAAATGATGTTGGTATTTAAACTCCATCTATTTTTTTCGTTAGTTGGTTCGGCAATCGTCAAGTATTCCATCGGAATGTCTTTGTCAACAAAGTGATCCGATGATAGTGCCAACATTGCTTTATGTCGGACATTGAATTAATTTGAGTCTTGACAATTATAGGTAAAAGACGCTGAAATGAATCATAGTTAAAGCAGTAGTGGTGGCAGCCACTTCGCTAGAGGTGGTATCTATCGTGCGCATGTATTTCGTTAGACTTACAAGGGAGGCGGCGTCACGAATATTAGGCGCCCGGACCTTTGACGCGAATGCTCTGGTCGCATGGGCTCAACAAGACGCTCGTAGAGGTGGTTTGAGTAAGGGGAGTGAATCGAGTCTTCCTCTCCGAGCTATCGGTAACAGGCGATGGTGGCGACTCGCATTGGTAGGTCTTGTACAACAGTGTAATGCCCACCAAAAGCAGGGCTGGCAGAAACAGAAGTAATACTGGGTGTTGTAGAAGAAGATTCCGAGGACGCTGAAGCTGCCGTGCAGGGGCGGAGGCCCGGTCTGGATTCAGCTGGCTTCCTCTGTGGGTTAGGAGGCGGTTGTAAGTTACTAGGACCGGATCGTCGATTTATCATGTTTAACGACGTTGTGTGATACGCACCAGTGTGCGCTTTGATTTGCTAAAATCGTATTTTCAATAGAATATTTGGATGGCAATGTTTCCGAGTGCGACAACATTAGAATATTGGGGGTCCGTGATGAGATCTTATTCATCTAGCTCGTGTGACCGACTATCTTGTTCGTTTGTAGTTGGGTAGACTATGGCGGGAATGAAATCCTTGCCCAAAAATGTTCTAAGTGGTATGCGCCTGGGACTAACACCCAGTTAGCGATAAGACATCGACGACTTTCGGAGCCTGGTCAAAGGGACAGTCCCCACTACCAACCTCTATAAGTGGGGAGGTAACCCAAAGATGTATGTGTTTTTGTACGATTCTCGTCAGTCTTGTCTAAACACATTACGAATTGATACGCTGGAAGAGGTGCACTTGTCTGAAGACATTATGAATTAATACGCTGGAAGGTGCGTGTTCAAATTTCACGTGGAGCGTCAATATTCACCTGGCTCTGTTCATTAAAAGCAAGAACTCTGTTGTTAATAGCCTGGCGCACACAATAATTTGACATTAACAGGCTAGGGCAACCGCAACTATCCATATCTATAACCGAGTCGCTAACTGATTCCGGTTTCTTTTTACGGAATAGGTCAACCATTATCTTGAGCTCCGTAAAATTGTCGCGCACATTCTGCTCGTCAAAATCTTGAGGCATGATATCATCCGAATTGGCTAGCACCGGGTTACCTGAATGTCCAATCCAAATTAATCCAGGGATGGAGTTTGTTGCGTAGAAACTATCGCGGATGTGTACTGGTGTTTCCGCATTGCTCAAGACTTCTACTGTGTGTCGAAGGTTGTTAATGGTTACATTAACTGATATTGGTACTTCAACTCCATCTACTATTGCTTTTTTTCCTTTATTAATTGTATACATAAAGTTATTGACACAATAACAGAAACAATACATGGCGCAGTCTCAAGGATACTGATTTATGTTAGTTGTTTCGACATTCGTTAAGTATTCCATCGGAAGATCGTTGTCAACAAAGTGGCTTATATCTCCTTTTTTTCCACAGAAGTCGGGCGCTTTTCTCATTGGTTGCGAGAGTCACGTGACATTCTAGAACTTTCTTCTTTCCCCTCTCACCCCACCACCCCGGTGTGTCGGGAGGACGATAAGTTATGGAAAGGACAAAACGCTTGGCGAGCATACCCTCGAATAAAATAAAAATACGAATGGTTTTCAGCGCAACCACCGATTCTTGAAATACCAAAAATGGATTTAGTTTTTTCCTTTCGTTGTATTGTTTTGAACGGACAAATTCAATGCCTTCAGGCGATCTAGTAAGCACTTGCATAGCTTCAGATTCTGTGAAAGCACCATTTTTGCATAAAAGTAAAATAATATCTGAATTTCGATAGTAACTGCTGCTATTTTTCCATTGTCAGTGTTGTATTTACAGTTTTCCCTCCTTGTAAATTTTTTTTTATTGAACTTCAATGCCATTGCCGTCTCTTTCTCGTATGTTATTATCGGTTTTATCAGCTTCATCCACCAGTCTTGGCTGTTTCGCTTCAGATGTACTGCCTTCATTTCCATGTATTGTATTTCTCCCTCCGGTACATTCAGCTTCGTACATTGTCTTTGTCCATTTATTGATCCCGTCCATTCTACATGAATGACTGGCGCATTGAAAAGTTTCTACAAGTTCGTCGCCGAGAATGACCTGTACGATTGGACGACCATTGCCGGAATAAATATACTTGCGTATACAAGCGAGGCAGTTAATGCTTGAAAAAATTCCCCACTGTCTATTTTTTGGGCGCCCCCGGGGGGGGGGGTGGCGGCCTCGTTTGTCCCGTTGTCGTAATTTTTTTTTTTTTTTTCTTTTTTTTTTGGGGGGGGTGGGGGGGGGGGGGGGGGGGGGGGGGGGGGGGGGGGGGGGGGGGGGGGGGGGGGGGGGGGGGGGGGCCTTTTTTATGACTGACGTATATAAGGTGCAAATGCCGTCTTTTGCCTCCTTGATGGAAAGCGATTAGTTTATAACGTCCGTTATAAATTGTTGACACTTGATCTTCATTGCTTGGGATATACGTACTGACTTGATGTACTCGTCTTCCCTGGCTCTCATCGTAATCTCCAAGTCTCTCGAAACTGCCTGCTCTGACTGAATATCGTCTTGTTCGTCCATCTCTCCATCTAACTCGGTAGCAGCCATCATCTGCAATGCTCCCAATCCCTTCTGTTCCGGCACATAGTTCTTTACTTTCACCTCCCGGATCTTGTTCCAATCTATTATCCCCTTTTCGTCCCTAGGTTAGGTTATGTTAGGTTAGGTTTTAGGTTCATTTCATTATCTACTACTACACATATATGACACGATGACATCATAAAAAACATGATGTAATAATAAGTAATGTTGATGATTCAATGTACCATAACACCACACCCAACCCCACCCTACAACCCAACATAATAACTGCCGATTGAATTAGCAAAATTGACACTTTAATTACCGATAGCAATTAAAACTTAAAATACACTAAAAATAAATCACACTTAACACTTTACTTCACTTTATTTCGTTCCGAAGTCTTCGCTCGTGTCGCCAATTAAATACTGCCCGGTCGCGCTCCTTACGGACTTTATATAAGAACTTTTCCACCGAAAACATCTTAGAACGTTCAAGTAGAATGCGAAAGTTCTAGCAAAGAATCCTCCACAAAGCCCTCGCTACTCGATACTAGAAGACGCTAGTTGGAAAGTTCTAGAAAGATCTTATCGCTCCTATTTCTGCTACTTAATACTAAATGGATGATTTTCCTTATCCGATTTGCTTGTTCACAGGTTTCTATGCTACCACAGAATTTGCGCCACCCTGTTGAGCGTCGATACCTGATAAATTTTTTGTATTCAGACTTAGCTTTCTTATATTGAAGCCAGTCTTCACCCTTTGAGGTATTCATTGCCCTATTTAGGGCTTTTCTTACCTTCTTACGTTTCTTGTCTAGTTTTTTACCCCACCACTGTTGCTTTTGCTCAGCATGTTTTGGTGGAGTGATTACTGGACATTATTCATGGTAGCTATCGATCATGGATTTAGTGACAGCTGCTACCTGTTCTTCTAGGAGCGATTGATCTGCTATGGTATTAGTTCCCCCAACACCCGCGAGCGAAGACGTCAGCCTATTGAGGTATTTTGTTTTATACATCTTGCGGGGATTTCTCTATGGAAGTATAGCGGGGATATCGACCTGTAGTACGTAGCAGATCCATCTGTGGTCTGAGCATGAGGCCTCTTTCGACACATGCCATCCTGTTATTAGTTTAGCTGCTCCTTCTGTTGCAAGTGTGAGGTCGATTATTGTGCGACAGCGTTTATTTATAAAGGTTGGTTCAGAACCAGTGTTTAAAATGGTTAGGTTAGTGCTAAATAAATATTCCACTAAAATCTTACCTCGTTCATTGGGTTTTTCCATTCCCCAAAGGGGGTGATGCGCATTGGAGTCCGTCCCGATTACAACCTCTATTTACTACTAATTTCATTATCCAGGAAAGTGCTAAAAGAGTGCGGGGCGGGGGGCAACGGGAAGTTGGCGAAATGGCGAAAGCACTAGGTGCGCGTCGTCTATTACACGAATGGTTAGTGATCTAGGGTTAATTGATGTTGGTACTTCAAGTCCATCTATTATTGCTTTTTTTATTTATTAATTTTATACATAAAGTTATTGACACAATGACAGAAAGAATACATGGCGCAGTCTCAAGGATACTGATTTATGTTGTTTCGGCATTCGTCAAGTATTCCATCGGAAGGTTGTTGTCAACAAAGTGATCCGATGATGGTGCTAACATTGCTTCACGACGGACATTGAATTAATTGGGGTCTTGACAATTATATTGAAGTCCTAGTGGTGGCAGCCACTTCGCTAGAGGTGGTGTCCATGGTGCGCACGTATTTCGCCACACTTAAAAGGGAGGCGGTGTCACGAATATTGGGCATTTCCGTCATTGACGTTAACTAGCTCTTTTATTTCTACAGAAGAAAGTAGAGGACAACAATACAACCGTTCACTTTCTTCTGCAGAAAGACTTGCAAACGTCAATGACTTCTGGCTTCGACGTCGTGTAGCAGGCGGCGCGTCTCCAGAGGCTGATGAGCTCTGCGAGCTCAGCGGTATTCCTAAATCGATATGATGAAAATTTATGTTAGTCCACATAATTTGTCCCAAATAGTTTTAGACTTAAAAGTTCAGATTAACATACCGAGATCCGGTGTTAATGCGGGCCTCCGTGGCCTCGACCCCTCTGAAGTACGCTGCAAAAGAGTCGCCTGGTCTTCCATGTTAATGGAGCCGCCGGGGGTTGTTAACGCTTACATTAAATGATGTTGGTATTTCAACTCCATCTATTTTTTTCGTTAGTTGTTTCGGCAATCGTCAAGTATTCCATCGGAATGTCTTTGTCAACAAAGTGATCCGATGATAGTGCCAACATTGCTTTACGTCGGACATTGAATTAATTTGAGTCTTGACAATTATAGGTAAAAAACGCTGAAATGAATCATAGTTAAAGCCGTAGTGGTGGCAGCCACTTCGCTAGAGGTGGTATCTATCGTGCGCATGTATTTCGTTAGACTTACAAGGGAGACGGCGTCACGAATATTAGGCGCCCGGACCTTCGACGCGAATGCTCTGGTCGCATGGGCTCAACAAGACGCTCGTAGAGGTGGTTTGAGTAAGGGGAGTGAATCGAGTCTTCCTCTCCGAGCTATCGGTAACAGGCGATGGTGGCGACTCGCACTGGTAGGTCTTGTACAACAGTATAATGCCCACCAAAAGCAGGGCTGGCAGAAACAAAAGTAATACTGGGTGTTGTAGAAGAAGATTCCGAGGACGCTGAAGCTGCCGTGCAGGGGCGGAGGCCCGGTCTGGATTCAGCTGGCTTCCTCTGTGGGTTAGGAGGCGGTTGTAAGTTACTAGGACCGGTGGGATCGTCGATTTATCATGTTTAACGACGTTGTGTGATACGCACCAGTGTGCGCTTTGATTTGCTAAAATCGTATTTTCAATAGAATACTTAATGGATGGCATGTTTCCGAGTGCGACAACATTAGAATATTGGGGGTCCGTGATGAGATCTTATTCATCTAGCTCGTGTGACCGACTATCTTGTTCGTTTGTAGTTGGGTAGGCTATGGCGGGAATGAAATCCTTGCCCAAAAATGTTCTAAGTGGTATGCGCCTGGGACTAACACCCAGTTAGCGATAAGACATCGACGACTTTTGGAGCCTGGTCAAAGGGACAGTCCCCACTACCAACCTCTATAAGTGGGGAGGAAACCCAAAGATGTATGTGTTTTTGTACGATTCTCGTCAGTCTTGTCTAAACACATTACGAATTGATACGCTGGAAGAGGTGCACTTGTCTGAAGACATTATGAATTAATACGCTGGAAGGTGCGTGTTCAAATTTCACGTGGAGCGTCAATATTCACCTGGCTCTGTTCATTAAAAGCACGAACTCTGTTGTTAATAGCCTGGCGCACACAATAATTTGACATTAACAGGCTAGGGCAACCGCAACTATCCATATCTATAACCGAGTCGCTAACTGATTCTGGTTTCTTTTTACGGAATAGGTCAACCATTATCTTGAGCTCCGTAAAATCGTCGCGCACATTCTGCTCGTCAAAATCTTGAGGCATGATATCATCCGAGTTGGCTAGCACCGGGTTACCTGAATGTCCAATCCAAATTAATCCAGGGATGGAGTTTGTTGCGTAGAAACTATCGCGGATGTGTACTGGTGTTTCCGCATTGCTCAAGACTTCTACTGTGTGTCGAAGTTTGTTAATGGTTACATTAACTGATATTGGTACTTCAACTCTATCTACTATTGCTTTTTTTCATTTATTAATAGTATACATAAAGTTATTGACACAATAACAGAAACAATACATGGCGCAGTCTCAAGGATACTGGTTTATGTTAGTTGTTTCGGCAGTCGTCAAGTATTCCATCGGAAGGTCGTTGTCAACAAAGTGGCTTATATCTCCTTTTTTTTCCAGAGAAGTCGGGCGCTTTTCTCATTGGTTGCGAGAGTCACGTGACATTCTAGAACTTTCTTCTTTCCCCTCTCACCCCACCACCCCGGTGTGTCGGGAGGACGATAGGTTATGGAAAGGACAAAACGCTTGGCAAGCATACCCTCGAATAAAATAAAAATACGAATGGTTTTCCGCGCAACCACCGATTCTTGAAATACCAAAAATGGATTTAGTTTTTATCCTTTCGTTGTATTGTTTTGAACGGACAAATTCAATGCCTTCGGGCGATCTAGTAAGCACTTGCATAGCTTCAGATTCTGTGAAAGCACCATTTTTGCATAAAAGTAAAATAATATCTGAATTTCGATAGTAACTGCTGCTATTTTTCCATTGTCAGTGTTGTAGTTTCAGTTTTCCCTCCATGTAATTTTTTTTCCATTGAACTTCAATGCCATTGCCGTCTCTTTCTCGTATGTTATTGTCGTCGGTTTTATCAGCTTCATCCACCAGTCTTGGCTGTTTCGCTTCAGATGTACTGCCTTCATTTCCATGTATTGTATTTCTCCCTCCGGTACATTCAGCCTCGTACATTTTATTTTAAATTTATTTATTATTGAAAATACAAAAGGGGGACGCCCATTTTCGGCCATGGAACGCCCAACAATGTGAATTTGTTAAAAAATTTTATCTTTATTTATGGTTATTAATCGCGGTATTCATTTATCCTCAAACAATGGGAATATTTTTGCACAAATTAAAAGTACCGGAAACATAATAATAAAAATTATGTAAATCATTATGTCATTAGTTTGTGAATAAAAAAAAAGTGTTGCCAATCACAAAACACATTTAAAAAATCGATTCTCTTTTTTGATCGATTATTTACGGTGTCATCATTACAGTGCTAATATAATTTTTAAATAATTATGATGTTACGATAATTAAACAAGCGAATTACTAGCTGATTTCTAATGAATTCTTTAGAGAGTAACAAATGCTACGGCACAATTTAACTGTTAATCTTAACCGATCGTCTTTGAAAACAGATAAGAACTGTTATTCTTATCTGTTTTCGAAGAAGATCGGTTAAGTTATTCTTATCTGTTTATAACAACACATTTAAAATAGAATCATGTTATGATAACGAAATAAGTTAATTTCCAGCTATCCATGATTTACTTTTGAGCGGCAAAGTCGCCTATACTTGACCAACACCTGCGGGCCCTGAGCGCCAACGACGTCTATAGTTGACAAAAAACCCGGCTCCGAAAAATATGAAATATAGATATTGGAAAATTATTACAGGTATTTTAATTCTACACTCCTCAAAATAGGAATAACCCAGCAACATGTGAGTATAAAAAACAAGTCTTCTAGAGCCACAAGTACTAAGAAACATTGAACTAATAAAAATGGATTTTTATCTAAGCAAATACTATGTCCAGCACGCCAAAGTCGTCTATGGTTGACCGCTAGTGTCAAACGCGGGAGGCATAGATTTCTTGAAAACTATCCAAAATTCAGCTCAATGGTGTTTTTTTTTCTATTATTATTGATATTTGAATAAAATTAAAGGTTATAAACATAAAACTATAATTAGCTACATGAATAAAAAAATGTTATCAGATTATCTTCGCATAATAAATCTAATATCTCAACTCTAGCGCATCTTTAGCGCGTCATCGAAAATCAGTTCACTGGGCACCGTGATCAAGGATAGACGACACCCTGATGACGTCATAAGTGATTACCGAGAAAAGTAGAGCAATGCAACATGAACGATTCCTCAGAACTCATTCGGATTTTGGAAAGCGTCGATGATGATGAATTTTGATTTTTGATTGATGAATTGAATTTTTGATTGATTGGTGAGCAAATATGTTTATTTATTCCATGACCAAGATTTTAGTATTATAAGGCTGATTTACCTAGTGCGAATAATTATATACAATTGTTGATTTATGAATAATTATGTACCTTTTTTAATAATAATACAAAATTACAATTAATGTTTTTTTTTACTTAGGGTGTGAAGAGCAATTTTTCATTTTGTGTTGTGCCATTTTCTTTCTCAGTCTCAAAATCATCTAGCAGCATCAGCATCATATCAAATCCCCATTGTCATAAGAGTGTAAGACTTTTCTTCTGTGCGTCACTTGGCCTACGCCTACCCCGACACATAAAATATTATGAATCGATGTCTGTATATTTCGGTTAGATCGATTTTGAAATCGATACACAACATTCTAAGAATGTTTCAAAAGGGAAGGTCAGCTACGCCGTTGTCGTCCAGTCGCGACAGTGTCGTCATTAGGATGGAGAGTAGTGCTAATGTTTACTACTATTTTATTGTTATTGTTTGTTTTTTATTTATGTTTATATGTACAAAGTACATATATAAAAAGAGTGGAAGACGGCACAAGATTAAATAAAACATACAGTTTATTAAGAGTCATTTATAGCATAAAAAACCAACAAAAACAAGTTATTTCACGTTATCGATATATCAACTCTTGGCAACACTATTTTGTTTTGGCGCTTTGGCGTACAGGACACGGTAATGCGTTTTTGGCGTGGCGCTCAAAAGGTTAAAGCTTAACAAAACGCAACTGCACAATTTTTATCAATTTCAAGACAAAAACAACCGTTGTTATCGGCTTGGTTGAAAACGTTAACAACCGCCTTCACATCTGTAGTTATGATAATTAAATAAGCGATTTAATAGCTGATTTACAATGAATTCTATGCAGTATAACATAACGCTACTGCACAATATAACTGTTATTCTTATCTTTTCTTAACAATACATTTAAAATGAAATCATGTTACGATAATTAAACAAGTGAATTTCTAGCTGATATACCATGAATTTTTTAGAGCTTCATAAAACACTACTGCACAATTAACTGTTCTTAAAAATACACTTAAAATAGAATTTAAATAAAAAAGGAAGATACATTTTAAAAAGCGAGCAGAAGTTAAAACACCTCCAAGATTATTCTCTTTTTATGAAATTATTAATCGAATAATAATCGAATCGCTATGGATATTATGATGTTATGATAATTAAACAAGCGAATTACTAGCTGATTTACTATGAATTCTTTAGAGTACAATAAAATGCTACTGCACAATTTAACTGTTATTGTTATCTGTTTTAACAATACATTTAAAATGGAATCATGTTATGATAATTAAACAAGTGAATTTTTAGCTGATTTACCATGAACTGTTTAGAGCATAACAATACGCTACTCCACATTTTAACTGTTCTTAAAAATACGTTTAAAACATAATTTAAAAAAATAAAAGAAAATATATTTTAAAAAGCGTGTAGAACTGAAAGCGAAACTCAAATATTATTATTTTTTCATTAAATTACTAATCGAATACAAATCGATATCGTTTCGTTGTATTTATGTTAGTTATGTGGCAACATCAAATCTGACAGCTATAGGAAATATGTCATGCGAAATGAAATCACAATTCAACAAGTAAAAAGGTACTAGTGAATTCACAACTAAATAGTTGCCATTGTGTTATTTTGTTTGTTATTTTTCAAATAAATTCTCAAGAACTCATATGGAGTGAGATTGTCGATCACATTATAGTGTGACAACAGTTAAAAGTAAGTGTTCAACAGTTTTTAATTTATTAATTCTAGTGCTGATATTTGATAGTGATGAATGTATGAAATGATGAAGTTGTTTTATTTTTTAACATATGCACAAGCTATACCTGACAAACAAAATAGCTTATTTGTAACACGGCGATAAGATTAGCTAGCTAACACCAGATAGTTACGAAATGGACAATTTTTATCAAATACCAAGAAATAAGACAGTCGATTTTTAATTGTTTTTGGACTACTGGTAGGCAGTCAGTCCTTAATTATTAAATAATATAGGGCATTAAGTTTTAAGTAACATTTACCTATATTTGAGTTTAAAGTAAACAAATCTATTTTATTTTGTTCACTTTGTCTTATTTTTTTTTATTTAATATTATTTCAGTTGCCATCGTCATCGCGTGAGTGTCATGATTGCGAAGGATTGATAAAGCAGCAACACGTTAAACTTTAGAACGGGAACCATCTGAATCATCTAGTCCATCCTTGTAGCAATCTAAAGTGAGTAATGTATTGAACCTAGAACAACAAAGCTTAGATCATACATCATACAATATACTGCTGCCTAATTTTGTAAGAGCACCACTCACACAAAATCAATGTTTTTTCCTGGTTGTAACAATTCCAATCAACTCACTGTTCCATCAGCATTGCGGGTATGTATTTTTGTGAATACAATTACTATGTACCTCCAGAATGTAGAATCAGTAACTACCATTTAAATAGTAACTCTTGGTATTTACTTTTAGAATTAATATATAACCATATTAAAACATTTAGTGTAGCACAAATTATAGATTTTTCTACATTATTGTAAGATAATATTTACCATCATATAGACTTTGAAAATATTTACAATATGCCCGAATATACTGTACATTATTATCTACGCTTATCAAAGGCACAATGCCAATAAATTCTGTCTGAAGTGCCCAAAATGTCAAGTAAACATAGTGGATGCTTTGCACTTGCTGTATATTTGATAAAAGTAAGAACAGGAGATAGTGATGAATGCATATAGGCATTATTGCAAGTACCAAGAAACAAATTAGAGCGGCTCATGAATATGGCCCAAGAAATATTAAATCAGGATGTTGTTCCTATGAATTTTATCCATCGTTACCACTCTCTGTGCCAAATTCTATTCAGTAATTATGATATTATATCTGAGGCAAATAATTTCTTAGCTTTCCTAGATGTTTTTGTTATCCAAAATCCTAACAACATCATAGGTCACACTGTGTATAGAAAAAAGACCCATACAAACTGATATTTAAGCGGTGAATCTCACCATAATCCTTCACAGTTAGTTACCATGAGCAAATCTTTGTTACAGAGAGCATATGGGATCTGTGAGAACAAGCACCTGGCCGCGGAGCTTCAGCACGTCAAGCAGGTTCTGCACAAAATCAAGCTTCGGGTCCCACGTCTTCGTCACAGTGACCGAGTGAAGCCGACCGCAGTTGAGCGTGTGCCTGCTGTACTACCGTATGTCAAGGGTGTCACCCCAACCAGATAGACATACATCAGATTTGATAGACCACAAATCCTCGTTAAAGAACATTAATTCCTACCAAGGATGATATGTGAGGCTACTGAAATTAAAAAACATCCTAATTTCAGTAGAGAAGGCGGTTGGGTACTGCCACCTGCTTGGGACACTATAATTAATAAAATTAAAACAAACCCCAAGCATACCACTGCAAGACTTAAAGATAGAGTAAGTTCAATCTGCGTAGATTGGACTATAAAAATAATAATAAAAAGCTGAAGGTACTCCATGTCCCAATACTGACATTGGGATGGCAGTCACCTCAGTACCCCGTGACCATGGGTGCTATAAAGCACCTGAAACGTCAGGAATTAATAATAATAGTATAATAATAATATAGCCATTTATTTCCGAACTTTGGGGTTACATAATATTTGTGTTTGAGTTCCTATTGTAATACTAGTTAAAGTAAGTCCCTCTGTTCGGTGTGCCTTTTGGCATAGGCCTCCAAAAAGAAAAATCACGCGTCGGGAATTAAAAGTTAAAGAAATTAAAAGCAATAAAATTGGTAAAAGTAGTCGTTAAAAAGCTGTATTTGTGAAAATAAAAAGCTTTATATCATAAAAATCCCGACTTTTTTTAAACCAATTCCTTAACCATTTCATTATTTTAATTGCATATTATCATTTCCATATGCTTTTATATGTGGGCACCCATGGCCGAAGTGTCTATGAACAGTGGGCATCCCCCTTTAGTTTTTAAATATTCACATTCCCACAAAACTGCTTACACAGTTTGTCTGCAGGAACATTTGGTTCTCATTTACATGATATATAATGTTAATGCTAAGCACTGAGACTTGCCAATAAATATTTCTTTAATTTATTTTTAAATATGTTTTTTACTGGTTCACGTCGAATGTCCTCAGGCAAACTGTTGAAAAAGTACGGTAGTCGTTTCTTTAAAGTTCTATCCCCGAAGTTGTTATTTACTTTTGGTACAACAAATTTGCCTGCAGACATCGACCGAGTACCCTGACCATGCTCGACCAATATTAGAGTACGGTCCCGGCAGTTGTAATTGTTTATGGCAAGTAAATATTTATGTTTAAAAACTTATTGGGAATATTTTGCAGATTTTGAATAGTTTTGTGTAATCGCCTTTACAAATAGCTTTAGTTTTTTTATTAACTAGTAACTTTAAAAATCTAATTTGTAATGCTTCAAGCTTATCAATGTTTTAAATGTAGGACCATAACTGTCAAGAGCGTATCCCAAAATCGAATCTACCAATGAAAAATATAAGCATTTTAATGTAGCAGAAAGAACTTTAAAACTTAAGTGATAAAATTTGCTTAGGAGTAATCTTAACTTATTACTTACATAATCTACATGGCTGGACCACGAGAAGTTAGTATCAACTTTAACACCGAGGTAGGTTACACAATCGAATTTTTCAATAGGCTCACATCGACTATTATTTAGACCATTATGGAGGCACTCAAAGTTAAGAGTATACATTTGAGGAGACGAGTCAGCAGGACGTAGATAAGGCGACTGAATGATAAGATACTTGGTTTTATCTGAGTTTAAGACGATACCGTTATCATGGGACCATTTAACTACTGAGTCTATGTCTTGCTGTAATAGGTGACATGTCTCCGTGAGATTAGTACCAGCACGTAATGTACATAGGTCATCTGCGAACATGTATGCAGAGCTATGCTGAAGTACGTCACATAAGCTGTTAACATGCAGTAAGTAGCAAATAGGCCCACATCCCGAGCCTTGTGGCACCCCCGCACCTCACCTCAGTCGCCTCACTAAACGTGTCTCCAACCTTTACACGGAAAATGCGTGATGCAAGATAGTCACGGAACCACTGGTTTAACGGTTGTCCCACGCCACCTTCGTCCATTCCATTTAAGAGTGTTTCTGTTTCTAAGGTATCAAATGTTTTTTTGAAATCATAAAAAATAGCAACGAAAAATTTTGAGAATGTCCTGTACGATTGGACGCCCATTGCCGGAATAAGCGAGGCAGTTAATGCTTGAAAAATTTCCCACTGTCTATTATGACTGACGTATATAAGGTGCCAATGCCGTCTTTTGCCTCCTTGATGGAAAGCGATGAGTTTATAACGTCCGTTATAAATTATTGACACTTGATCTTCATTGCTTGGGATATACGTACTGACTTGATGTACTCGTCTTCCCTGGCTCTCATCGTAATCTCCAAGTCTCTCGAAACTGCCTGCTCTGACTGAATATCGTCTTGTTCGTCCATCTCTCCATCTGACTCGGTAGCAGCCATCGTCTGCAATGCTCCCAATCCCTTCAGTTCCGGCACATAGTTCTTTACTTTCACCTCCCGGATCTTGTTCCAGTCTATTATCCCCTTTTCGTCCCTAGGTTAGGTTAGGTTAGGTTTTAGGTTCATTTCATTATCTACTACTACACATATATGACACGATGACATCATAAAAACATGATGCAATAATAAGTAATGTTGATGATTCAATGTACCATAACACCACACCCAACCCCACTCTACAACCCAACATAATAACTGCCGATTAAATTACCAAAATTGACACTTTAATTACCGATAGCAATTAAAACTTAAAATACACTAAAAATAAATCACACTTAACACTTTACTTCACTTTATTTCGCTCCGAAGTCTTCGCTTGTGTCGCCAATTAAATACTGCCCGGTCGCGCTCCTTACCGACTTTATATAGGAACTTTTCCACCGAAAACATCTTAGAACGTTCAAGAAGAATGCGAAAGTTCTAGCAAAGAATCCTCCACAAAGCCCTCGCTACTCGATACTAGATGACGCTAGTTGGAAAGTTCTAGAAAGATCTTGACGCTCCTATTTCTGCTACTTAATACTAAATGGCGCTAATAATCACCCGCCATATACCAGGCATTAATTATGGCAAGCGACAAATGGTTACAACATTAACTGATGTTGGTATTTCAACTCCATCTATTATTGCTTTTTTTCGTTATTTGTTTCGGAAGTCGTCAAGTTTTCCATCGGAAAGTCGTTGTCAATAAAGTGATCCGATGATAGTGCCAACATTGCTTTACACCGGACATTGAATTAATTTGAGACTTGACAATTAAACCGGGTGTCCAGTAAGCGTACCGGGTATTAGACAGTTAAATAAAATGAGAAATACAATTAATTCAATATATCCTTTATTTTTAATTCAAAAACAGTTTCTTGGAAAGGATATGGCCAAAAATTGTATGAACCTGTACCCCAGACTGTACAGAGATGAAATATATGTGATTTAAAGAAAAGTGCATGTAGCTACGCAGTAGTGGACAAAAGTTATGAAAATTTAAAAAAGTTGATTTTGGCAGTCGATTTTTATCATTATTACACAATGTAAATGTTTCCATTTCATGAGTGTTATGTAGGTTTGTGTATTGCATGATGACATGGATGTATCCTAACCGGTTTAGCTAAAAAACAAGGACAGCAGTTTTTCCGGTCTTTGAAATTATTATTTGTAACTAGTTTTTGTAACATAACTATTATTGATCGAAGTATATTAGACAGAAAATAGTTAAACGTACTTATGACACCGTTTGTAATTAGTGGAGCACTCGCGTGAGGCTACGGCACTTATTAAATAAAAGTAAAATACGATAAAACACAAACACGAAGGAAAAGCGTACTTACATAATATACCTACACATCATATATAGTCTCACAAGGATCATTTGGCACTTGCATGACATTGACATGAAGGCGTGGGTGTTCACTAACGGTTACCAGCTAAAAAAAATCCTTTGTTTTATGGAATTCGTCTTAATTATGGAGTATGGGGCTTGGCAGTATCCCAACTAATATTATAAATGCGAAAGTGAGTTTGCTTGTTTGTTTGTTACGCCCTATCTACTGAACCGATCATCATGAAATTTTGCATACACTTTGGGAATGATGTTATGGCGAAAGCTAGTTGGGTTATATAACTAGGTTGTAAAATGGTTTTTGCAGGCTCAGGCTTACCATAAGGCAGGCATTATGCTTAGTTGCTACCTTAGTAGTATAAATTAAAAGAAGGAAATATTTGGATGACAGAATTTATAACATGAAAACTATAATGCAATAGTAAACGAAATAAAAAACAATATTTCAATTTTTTTTACTATAGTTATGTTCTGAATGAACTATGGCGAGAGGTTAAATGCTATTAAATTCTTCATCACTTTCATCTTGAGAGTCGTCATCACTGCTTTCTTCACTCTCAGAGCATAATTCCACGATGAAAGGTGTATCCAAATATCCATCTTTACTTCTGTATTCTTCTTCAAGTTTCCTGACGTGGGCACAATGATTGCACCATTCTTTGACGGGAATGGAATTAAAAGCTTCCTGTACCATTTCTGGCATTTGATTGGCTGGTTTGCCAATATTTACCTCAGCTACTTTGCGTTTCATTGATGCCCAGATCATTTCAATAGGATTGAGATCATAATGATACGGTTGTAAACGCGATATTTGAAAAAGAAAATAAGCAATTTTAAATAAACCCATAGTCATTTATTTTAATAAAAAATAACAATTTATGAAGTCACTTTACTAGTAGATTTAGTATTTAAGTCATGATTACCTTGTAACCCAGTCCTTTTAAAATAGCATCAACAGCATACACTGGTTCGGGCTTATATCTATTGACAATTTCCAACAATTGTGGTCTTGTGTATTCTTCTGAATATTAAATATTGTTATTTTCTAACCACTCAATTATTTCTGGTTTTCTGGTAGTTGTGTTTGGGGGATTGTTGATGCGTGTGTTGTGATATGGAGCGTTGTCCATTATAATTAAACTGGGTTTTGTCAAATTGGGAGCTAACTTTTCTGCAACCCATTTTTAAAAATTTGTGTGATTCATATCATCATGGTAATCACCACTTTTTGTTTGTGATTTCAACACCAAACATGCATTCTCTACAAAACCTTCATTACCTCCGGCATGGACAATATCTTTGTCCTTTGGAGACAGGCTCTAATACTCCATCTGAAATCAATCGTTTGCACATTAACAAATGCAAATAACACTAATTAACTAGACTATAAATATTATGAGATAGTTAACTAAACAATACCTTCAGCATCATCCTGCCAACATTTACCAGCTGTATGACCGGAGTGAATATATGTCTCATCTAAGTAAAGAACTGGTAATTTTTCTGTCTCGTCATTACGCTTTATAGTCTGAAATAAAATAATTCTGTGTTACTCATGAATAAGTGTGTCACTTTAATTTAAAATACATTATGAATAGAAAATAAATGTACCTACCTGAAGATAAAGAGCGCGCCAAGCAGTTATATCGTTAAGTTCCATCAGTACTTTTATATTGCTTTTAGTTTTTTTATATCAAAAACCGATCTTTTTATGTGCTGTCTGAGAATTTCTCTACTGCCAGTGAATCCAATCTCTTCTTTAAGTAGACGAAGCAACTTATTCACTGTTGGTATTTCTTTTTTACAAGAATAAAACTCATGGATCTTTCGTCTAAGAACACCAATATCAAAATTGTCCATAACAATTTTATCCTTCCTTGTTTTTCTTTTTTTCCCCGGTGTTACTATTAACTTGATTATTTTTCAACAGCTGCTATAAAATGTTAATAGTTATTCAAAATTCTTTTTTTATTTCATTTAAGTTAATAGCAATAGTCTTATTTTGTACAGCTTGGGGCACATATTGGCTATCTCATTAATTTGGCGAATATACCATTATCTAAATGTGTACACACGCTGCTGGCACTCCTCTAACCTTGAACGCAGGTTGGCGACGATGCGTTGACAAAGCGAAGTTGGGATTGCCCTCATCTCTGACGTGATGTTCTCCTTCAGTTGACTCAGATTCGTTGGGTGGTTATCGTATACCCTACCCTTAAGGTATCCCCATAAAAAATAGTCGAGAGGACTAAGATCTTGACTTCTGGGGGACCAGTTAATGGTGCCCCTACGCAAGATATCTTTGGAAACAATTCCTTTACAGCTTCTATTGACGCCCCTGCGGTGTGGAATGTGGATCCTGTGGTGGGATATCTTATAATGCGAGCGCCAAAAAAGTCCTTAACATGTCACAATAACGGTCTGTATTCACCGTAACTGCTCGCCCACGTCTGTCTTTATGGAAAAAGGGGCCGATTATACCTATACCAGAAAAGGCGGTCCAAACGACGACCTTTGGACTATGAAGTGGTCGTTGATGTTTTGCTTTAGGGAACTTCCCGGAACGTTCCGGGAAGTCTGCAGTTTGTGATCATATCCTAGACGGACCCAACCATTACATCAGATTTGATAGACCACAAATCCTCGCGAAAGAACACCGATTCCTACCAAGGATGATACGTGAGGCTATTGAAATTAAAAAACATCCTAATTTCAATAGAGAAGGAGGCTGGGTACTACCACCTGCTTGGGATCCTATAATCAATAAAATTAAAACTAAACCCAAGCATACCACTGCAAGACCTCAGGACATAGTCAGTTCATTTTGCATAGATCGGACCATAAACAATAATTAAAAAAGCTGAAGGTACTCCGGGTTTAACAATGACATCGGGACGTCAGTCATCTCAGTCCCCCGTGACCATGGGTGCTGGAAAGCGCCCGAAACGTCGGGAATTAAAAATAAAAGTAAATAAAAAGTAAAAATAAACGCGATAAAATCCGTAAAAGTAGTTTTAATCATGTATAGTGTTTGCGTAAATATAAGAAATCATTATGTAAACAGAATATTGTCAAAGCTGTTGAATAGCTCTAGCATTTCAGTAGCAAAATTTAACCGACTTTCATAATCGGAATCCTTCACTTTTTGGACTAACTGGATTTTGTAGGCTGTGAGATGCAAATCTTTCTTCAAAATTACCTGCAATGGAGGTTTTTTGATGTTTAGTTCTTGTTCTCCTATGCGAATTGATAGCGACGGATTTTCACGTACTGAAACTCTCACTTCTTCGATTGTTTCTGCATCTCTAACGCTTCGCGGGCGATATTTTGAATTATAACAGTCGACCCGGTATTCTCGAACATTTTAATCCACTTTCGTATGACATCGTCGCTTGGCGCTGTACGTGTGCGATATTCTCTGCGATGTAAACGCGGTGCAGTAACAATGGAATCGTTATTGCGATAATACGCTCGCACGCAAAAATAGCGGTGCGTTCCGGAATACGGCTTCATGGCAACTAAAATTCCCCCGAACCGACGCTCGTGACGTTGCCCTCCCCGCGACTACTTCACTTGACGCCGTGAACCAATAAACAAACTCCCGCTACTCTTGCTGGACACCCAGTATGTAAGAGACGCTGAAGTGAATCATAGTTAAAGCCCTAGTGGTGGCAGTCACTTCACTAGAGGTGGTATCGCACTGGTATGTCTTGTACAACAGTATAATGCCCATTAAAAGCAGGGTTGGCAGAAACAGAAGTAACACTGGGTGTTGTGGAGAAGGTTCCGAAGACGCTGAAGCTGCCGTGCGAGGGCGAAAGCTGGGTCTGGATTCAGCTGGCTTCTTCGGTGAGTTGGGAGGTTGTTGTACATTACTAGGACCGGTCGACGCGACGTTGTGTGACACGCACCAGTGTGCGCTTTGATTTGCTAAAATCGTATTTTCCATCAAATACTTTACGGATAGCAATGTTTCCGAGTGCGACAACATTGGAATGTTGGAGGTCCGCAATGAGATCTGATTCATCTAGCTCGCGTGACTGACTCCCTTGTTCGTTTGTAGTTGGGTAGGCTATGGCGGCAATGAAATCCTTGCCCAAAGTGTTCTTAGTGGTATACGCTCTAATATTGTGCGCGTTTCGGTGTTTAAAAGCGTGTTACTTTTAAGACGGCCCAAAGTATATTGTCAAAAAAAAAGAGGCTGGAATTGATGTTCTAACATACAGTTCACACGCGAAGAAGGGATTGCCGCGTAAGCTTAATTCTACACGTCCGTGGGAGCGAGTCCACGTTTACACAGCCGTGGGACTATTTTATTGCTTACATTATTTTTATCACATTACAACGCCTGGGACTTACACCCAGTTAGCGATAAGACATCAACGCCTTTCAAAGCCTGGTCAAAGGGGTCGTCCCCAATAACAACATCTATAAGTGAGGAGGTAACCCAAAGATGTATGTTTTTTTGTGTTTCTGTACGATTCTCGTTAGTCTTGTCTAAAGACATTATAAACTATTATGCTGGAAGGTGCGTGTTCAAATTTCACGTGGAGCATCAAATTCACCTGGCCCTGTTCATTAAAAGCAAGAACTCTGTTGTTATAGTGCGCGCAAGATAACTCTGCGCGCGACTGATGGCGTGCTTAATGTTGCCAGCTTAACTAATATTTTTTCCTTCGTTTAATCTTATTACTGGAATTGTATAATTATATCAAATTACATAAATTACCTAATTGATTACCAAATCTCAATTAAAAAAACTGTAATGTTCAGCCTAAACTTACAAAGACCTAATAATTTTTAAACCCCATATTTATTGTTTAAGATCCGCGTAATAAATATATTTCTTGATTCTAACTTTCATAAGTTTGATACCTCACTACACAAGTTTAACTACGCCACTACAATTTTTTTTACACAATTACAGGTACCTATTATATGCGTGTATAAAAAGGACTAATACTAAGATTAATGACTACTGACATTTTGTCTATATTAAATTTTTCCAAAAAGGTATTTTGAAACAACTGAAATAGCATTATAATATTTATTATAAAGAACGAAATAAAAAGTCCAAGGAAACCTTGTAAATCTTTTATTGAATACCTATTATTATTTATAAATTTGGTGTAACGATGGTCCTGCAGTGGATCAAGGCCTTCCATTCGCATATCTTCATCAGAATCCATGCTAGAGTCTTCATCAGATGACTCGGATGTGTCACCTGTAACATTAATTAAAAATTCTTCCATTTCCATATCCATCAGCCTATCTGATTGGAAATATTTATCTTCTATTTTTTCTACATGTTGGCATACGTTGAACCATTCTTCTGTCGTTACTGTTCTAAACGCCGCCTCAGTAATAGCAGCTATTTCGCTAGGAGTTTGAGTGATATTTTTCTCTGCAATGCGTCTCCTTACTATTGCCCAAATTTTTTCTATGGGATTTAAATCGCAGTGGTAAGGCGGCAAACGGAGAACCTCATGTCCATATTCATTTAGCATTTGATCTATTTCGTACTGTGGGTCTCCTTTGTTTTTTTTAATTAATTCGTATAATTGCGCTTTTGTCCAACAGTCTTCAAATGTAATACCATTTCTTGTAAGCCATCATTGGAGCTCTGCTTTTGTATTGCCAATTGTAGGCGCCTTGTTGATCTGTGTGCAGTGGTATGACGCATTATCCATCACTACAATGCAATTCGTTGGAAGATTCGGCACAATTTTTTCTCTCATCCACCGCATGAAGTTAGCTGAATTCATATCGTTATGATAGTCATTCGATTTGGAGTTAGACCTGAACAGCAGCAGTCCGTTTTCAACAAACCCAGTTTCGCCTCCACCTTGGGCTATTATCCATCTTGCACCGACGCTATCAGAAGCAAGAATACCAGGCTGTTCCTTCGATTGCCAACATTTTTGAAGATGGTATGAAGCATGTATATACAATAATGATTTCTTATATTTACGCGAACACTACACATTGAAATAATACTAGTTTTTACGGAATTTATCGCGTATATTTAACTTTTTAATTACCCGACGTTTCGAGAGCTTTACAGCACCCAAATTCCGTAAAAACTAGTATTATTTCAAAGCATGTATATACGTTTCGTCAACATAAATTACCGGTCGATTTTCTTCCTGACGATTCTTGCGCAACCTCATAATATATTTTGCTCTCCAAGCTGCAATATCACTGCGTTCTACCAATACTTTTCGTTTAGACTGGCACCTTTTGTATTTGTAGCCCATAGTCTTTAAAATACTCCTCAACGATGTTCTGCCATATTTAAAACCAATATCAGTTTTCAATTCCAACCAAAGTTTATTTATGGTAGGAATCTCCTTCTTCACGACGTAAAATGATTGAATTAAATGCCTTATAGCGCACATATCGAAATCGTCTAAATCATAAATTTTTTTCCTTCGGTTCCTAGTTTTTCCCGGCGTCACAATTTTAGAAGATGAAGCTTCTGCTGTATTACCCTCTTGACTTATCTGGGTGACGGTGCGTTCAGAAACACCTAAAACAAAATAAAAACAATGCATACATGATATTAATGACACGAGGAAATTAAAAAGGAACAAATAGAGAAAATTGGGGAATTTTATTGTAATGGCATCCCTAAAAATTACCTGTTAAATGTGCAACGCGGGCTCTAACTTTGGAAAACGGTACTATAGGCCCGTTATTGTCTCGTTCTTCTTCACAAGCACGTTTGACCTTCAAAATAACATCCCTGCCAGCACTTTTAATCACTTTCGGCATAATGATAACGATTAATTACTGCAAAAAAGAATAAAAACAGGACACCTACCACTCTGTTTAGACACTTGCCATAAACAGTAAGATGGCGGCACACGATTAGTTCCAATTTTGGGCGCGCGCAGTTATCTTGCGCGCACTATAATAGCCTGGTGCACGCAATCATTTGACATTAACAGCCTAGAGCAACCGCAACTATCCATATTATAACTGAGGCGCCAACTTATTCCCGTTTCTTTTGACGAAGTAGGTCAACCATTCTCATGAGCTCCGTAAAATCGTCGCGCACATTCTGCTCGTCAAAGTCTTCAGGCATGATGTCATCTGGGTTGACTAGCACCTGGTTACCTGGATGTCCAATACAAATTGATCCAGGGATGGAGTTTGTTGCATAGAAACTATCGCGGATGGCTACTGGTGTTTCTGCATTGTTCAAGACTTCTACTGTGTGTCTAAGGTTGTATAAATTGTTACATTTTCTGATGTTGGTATTTCAACTACATCTATTATTGATTTTTTTTTCGTTAGTTGTTTCGGCAATCTTCAAGTATTTAATCGGAATGTCGTTGTCAACAAAGTGATTCGATTTGTTTTTATATAAAATAAATAATTAATCGAAAGAAAATAAAATGAAATTGGAATTAACAAAATGAATAAACTCAAATGTCTAGGCTATAACACAAAATCAGAATTAGAAAAATGAATAAACTTAAATATCTAGGCTCGCGATCAGCACAGGAACTCTAACATTTACTCACACGATATTTCACGCTTATAAATTTTTCCCAGGAATGCGGTGCGATCTTCGAGTATTCCTTAATTTGGACTCTAAATTCAAATGTTATTGTTCTCCCTTCTATCGCTTTTCTTGCCATTGGTACTTTACAATACTTGTCTATTGAATAATTACTGCAAGTACATAATATACATTTTTGTGTGTGACATCTATCCTCGTATTTTACATCTGTTGACATTGGTAAACCTGATGCCAACAGTTTCCATTGTTCAAATTGATTCTCCGCCAATTCACACTAGTCCATATAGCATGCGTTTGTGTGCAATAAGCCACTAAAATTGAAACTTGAATTTGGTGTTAATCCCGTCGGTCTGCAATAATTAAATTGACTTTCCACCAATGAAGTTGCAATCATTGTTTTACCTGTTGAAGGTGGTCCATAAAAAATAAATTATTTCAATTTCCAGTTTTTCTTTAGAAGTGTTTTAGTGTATTGATGGCAAAGTCTTCCGTGTCAATCTAGTTCAATTTTAAAATATCTGTTAATATTCTATAGGTATTGTCTCGATATTCTTGAATATAGATTGTTTTTCGTTGGCAATGTCAACTGCATGTGGCATGTTTCGTCAGCAATGGATTTGCCTGTTCGAATCGTTGTTTTACCGATTCTTGAAATACCGAAAATGGATTTAGTTTTTATCCTTACGTTGTAATGTTTTGAACGGACAAATTCAATGCCTTCGGGCGATTTAGTACGGCGACGGCGACTAGTATGTACTTGTCAATTGAATAATTACTGCAAGTACATAATTATGTTAGGTTAAGAGAAGATATGATCAAACATGGCTAATATGTATATGAACGTTTATAAATAAAAAATAAATCATTCGCAAAGCAGTTTTATTATTCCGCATATGAGCGCGACACAAACAATCTATTTTTACATATATGACAATAAAAATTAGATTTAAAACTATTAGGCACATCTATTGGAATAGCCTCCAGCTCGCGGAAGTTAGAGATGCGCACTTCGATGTAATATTCTCCTCGCTTCGAAGGCTCGCTCCGGTGCATATGTTCCGAACCTGTTCGGCATGATAAGTAGCTTTTTAAAATCCCCGCTCGGATAGGTTCGGAATCTTCATCCTGGAAACAATAAAAATACTATTTAAACAAAAGCATACTGATAAGCAATGAAAAATACTTATATTCCCTCCTACCCCGCATAATTTATACGATGCTCATAACATGACTTAGTAGTACAATTCACTAACAATTGTATCAATCACATCGATCGTCTAAGAATATAATTAATATCGTTTTATTAAAAAAATTTGATATATTCACAACATCCAATCAAATAGAAACTAACTTTTCATCATGTGAATGGTAACTCAAACTATTAAAATAAATAAGATTTGCGTACCTCTGAATCTGGAAAA